TCCTGTTATTGAGTGTATAATCTCATGTAGAAATACAGTACTATCAAAAGTTCAACTTAAGACCCTTTCTGAATAACAAGCTTAGGCCAAAAATACCAGACTTTTATTCCCATACTATGAAAAGTCATTCGTGTTGCTGTGGGGCCATGGCTGTTGGCTCACTGAAAATTCACTGGCCAAGGCAAGATTGATTAATAAAAGAAAAGGTATACAAATTTTATTTAATATATTGTTAAATGAAGTTTAGCCCAAAGCTGCCTCCTTGCTTATTTGGAGTTTGACCCAGAGGTTTCTTTGTAACCCTTCACTGTAACCTAACTGGATATGTAGACAGACTAACCTACTCTTGTGCCAATCACCAAGTTCTGACCTATCAAAAGTGGCCAACTGTTCAAAGTGGGCTCAAATAAGGCAAACACTGAGCTGTAAACAATACAGCTGTTTCTGTACTCCACTTCCATTTTCTACACATCACTTTTCTTTCTCTGTCTATAAAACTTCTTCCACCACATGGGTGCACTGGAGTCTCTGAGCCTACTCTGATTCAAAAGACTGCCTGATTCTTTGCTCAGTTAAAGTCAGTTAAATGCAATTGTCTTAAGTTTTTTTTCTTTTATCAGTGTATAAACGGGAGCCTTTAGAATGAAGACCCACTGTCCAATGGGTTACAGAAACTTAAATACTATCTCAAGGTTCCAGGATGAATGAGCATTTGCGTTCTGGCAAAACAGCTTATGGGAGGGGGAAGAAGAGGAATCCTATTGAGTACAACATATGGTTGGAACAAGGAATGGGTGGGTAAAATAGAGAATGACTTGTAAATAGTTATCTTTGAAATTTAAAGGATCGTTAGAGACAGTCATTATACTTGTAAGAAGGTTTGCTCAGGTTAGGTTACATCTTGCTTTTCTTTTCTGCAATAGATAATGAGATAACAGAGAGGGGAAGTAGCCTCTCTGTGACCAAGGTGGGGGCAGGAAGGTCAGAAAGTCATATTTTGGGATGAATTTCCCTGCACCCCTTTGATGTCATGTGGTGTGCAGTGTAGTTGTTCCATGACTTCTTGACTTCACTGAAGAAAAGACTCTCAGAGTGAGTCCAAATTATAGTTTAAAGGAAAGTTTATTACAGAGGAAACCATGTTAAAGAACATGTGTATCTCAGAGGATAGGACACATCTGCTTGCTGTTAGCAGGAAGCTTTCTATATTGCCCAAAATGATGATAAAGCAACCTATTCCATAAGCTAAGAGGACTATAGATATTTGATCACAAATTTTGATTATTATTTCTCAACATTTTAATGTCACAAGGACCTTTTACATAATGGAAGTTGCTGCCTAACTAGATTTGGGCTTTTCTTGGAACACATAGCTCTGTTTTGAGTAATTTTTCATTGTTTCTGTGATTTAATACACTGGTTGTTCCACAGTCCAGTGGGCAAGGTGATCAGATCTGATATGCCTGGCTGGTTGGATAAAGGTTGTATACCAATCAGACATTGAAATGCTTAACCATCCTGTTCCCCAGTTATCTAAATTAGATCTGCTTAGGAAAACTTGCCTAATTACATCTAATCTATATGCTATGCTAAGTATGCCTGCCTCACCATCATTGGTTAGTCCTCCAGGTTAGTGAAATTATTAAGCAAGTTATTAAGCTTCTGATCCTTGTTTTTCTCATCTGTGAAGCAAGGATAATGATTTCATTGTAGCAGTATTGTTAGGAGTGTTAAATGAAGTATTGTCTACTATAAAGAGTTAGATCAATAAGCCAGTTATGCACCTGCAGAAGGTTCTTACCTGCATGAAAGGAGAGAGGGACAATATGACAGTTCTATTAGAATCTAGTCGCTAGATTTAGCTGAGAAATTCCTGCTTGAATCATTTCAAAGTTCTTAGTTATAAATAGTTTGAGAACCCACTCAGGGACTTGAGGGAAATGTAATTTGCTCTTGGCAGAGTACATGATTTATTTCAAAATAACTTTTGCTTTAAAGATTCTTCCTCAGACTCACTGTGGCCAGCAAATTTGGACTTGTCTGGTTTCTAGGGGTCTAAACATGGAACACTTTCAACCCAATGAAGACAAAAGCATTCCTATCCTCATTCCATTATCATATTTTCCTGTGTGCCTCAGGACATCATCCCAGTCCCCAAGACATAAACTTTATGAGCTTTTGAGGAGAAGAAGTTGCTGGTCTTATGAATATCTGTACACCAAGGTTTTAGTACAGTATTTAGGACCTGGTAGAAGCTCAATATGTATGTGTTGGCTGAATGATTAAATGAATGAATGTATGTGTGGGAAAGGCCAGAGGGTATATAAGACGACCCCAAAGTAGGCATCTCCTAGTCAGATCACCGGAGCCTGGAGACCCAGGATCTGCCTCAGCATTGTAGGTACAGAGATTTGGTTTATGAATGAAGTCAAAAGACGGTCAGAGATGAGAGGACATACTCATAGCAACCATACTTACAAGTGTGTATAACAGGAAGTCAAGTTATAAACTACACATTTCTAACTGCACATGTATGAAAGTATACCCATGCCAGCGTTCATTAGGCAGTTCATTCTGCCTTGTAGCTGCACCTTCATAGGAGCTTGTGAAATAATCAGAGAGTTCTGTCCAGCAAAGCCTAGACTTTTCCATATCAAGTGGGTTTTTTGTTTGTTTGTTTGTTTTTTACAGCATGAGTTTGATGTTTCTCCCCTCAAGAGGCAGGATATATTTTCCCTCCCTTTGAATCTGGGTGGGTACTCTCTGTGTCTTGGTTTGACTTCTGGGCCTAATCCTTTCAGAAGTGCTTCTGTTTCACTTCGTCCTCTTAGAGGCTGGCCTCTACGCAAGGAAGCTCAGCCTGACTACTGAATACAAATTCTACATGGATGGAGAGGCTACGTGGAGGTGGAACAAGGCACCCCCTAGCCCAGAGGCAGCACTCAGGCCCCACATTTGTGAGTGCAGCCATGTTGGATACTCCACTTCCATTGAGTCTCCCCGGGAGCCACTGCAAGGAGTAGAACAAGCCACCTCTAGTGACCAAAACCGTGAGTAACAAAATGATTGAAAGTGGTGTCAAGTCACTGGATTTTGAGGTTGTTATATACAAAATGAACAGGTAAAAAAGACTCAAAGCAAGAGGAAGTGGTTGGATTATATTAATTGCCAGTATTGTGTTCTGGAAGTCTGTCACTTCAATTTCTACTTTCTCTGCTGTTGTGGTGGTCTGGCTCTTTTTATTCCAGCAAGACTGGGAGACACCTTTCTGTCTCTGACTCTATGGCTTATCCTTTTGGAGGTACCAGCCAAACCAATCCCTTTTGGATGACACATTTGTTGTTTTCTTTGTTGACTTTTAGACCCTGCTCCATTGCACAAGGATAACCTCATTTCAGCTACTGGCTTCTTCCTAATTTCCTAATATTTATTGCCTGTCATAAGTCAGGCCCTGTCCTAGAAGTGAATGGTACAGAGAACCAGACAGACAAAACTCTGTCCTCATGGAATTTACATTCCAGTATAACCTTAGATTGAAGAAGTCCTAGCTTTTGTCCTCATATACCAGGAATAAAAATATGACCCAGAGTATCAGTGCAGAAAGTTATACCAGGCCCCTAGAAACAACCTGATAACTCATTCAAGCCTTCCCCAGTTCCTTCACTCAGCCATTAGAATTTTATATAAGTGACTCTTTTTGTATTTCTGAGGTAAGAAATAAGCAGTTTGGGATTACCCAACAGAGATATATGTACCAGAACAGCAATAAAACAGAAGAATAAACATTTGTGTGTGTGTGTGTGTGTGTGTGTAATTTGGTATTTTAGAAAAAAATCAAAATAGTTATCATAGGGAAAAAAATCAGTGTTTTATTGTACTAACACTTTTTAAAGCAGTTTTTAAAAAAGTATTGCTTTTATTTTGAATACTTATGGGAATGGTGGTATCATAATCTTTTCAGTGTAAGCCCTGTAAATGTGTAAAATAGATAAGCAGAGTTTTCCTGACCCTCACTGGGATGGCTACTTTAAGTGTAAAACATGTTTTCACACAGTGGGGGATAATCTTCTATAGAACCAGTTTCATATTGGAGCTGAGCTTCCAGGTAAATTCTCTTCCCCATTTAAGGGAGCTCCCTGCATTTCTAGTGCCTTTAACTGAGATCTCTCTGAGAGAGAAATCCTCATTAGCTACATAAAGGGTTAGTAGGTTTTCTTTGCTTTCCAAAGGGCTATTGGGACATCTGCCCCTGTGATGTCCCTGGTCAACGAATATTTTATTCATGCTGAAACATTTTTTTTTTCTTTAATTTTCTACCATTTTTTGAGTGCCTCGTCTGTGCGAGTGCCTCTTCTGTGCCAGTGCCACTTGAAAAGCTGTCAATATATTATTAGGTGATTAAGTTCTAAATATCTTAAGTAAGTCCTGTTATTACTCCCCCCACTTCATTTTACAGATAAGAAAATAGAGGCTCAAAGAGGTCAAGATCACTCAGCTAATAAATGACTCAAGACTCTTGCTCCAGGGTTTGTTCTGTTAACCCTGAGCTATATTTGCTTTTCTTTCCAAAAGTCACTAAGAACGATCACTTGTAACATGTATTCATACAAATTACAACAGACATAAAATTAGCAAAATCTCTTATGCTACCGCTCAATGCAATTTATCTCCTCACATTTAACCCTCACAATCGCCACAAACAGGAATAAACCGAAAATCTGAGGTGATGACGTAGGGGACAGTCTATAATTGGTGTAGACCGGACTCTGCGAGACTCCAAACTCCCATTACTGCTTTTTCTGGGCCTGCGCTCGCGGAAGTCCCGCCCCAGGAGGAGGACAGTTTCCGTAAAAAATTGACACTGGAAAGCCGGAAAGGGCTAAGGGACTGAGCCGCTTGTGACGCTCTAGTATTCTTCTACTCTATGGCTGCTGCCAATTGATAAATCCCGAGCGGTAAGGCTCCTTTCTATTGGGTGAGCTGCCTCGCGTAGGCGGGTGGCTCGGTTCGGAGCGCGATGATTGGCTGGACCCACCACGCGGAGCGAAGGGGCGGTACTTGAGGCACCCGATCGGAGGTGACCGGCTGCATTCTCAGTTCTGGTGGAGTCGGTCGCATGTGGGCGCTTCGTTCGCTGCTGCGGTCCGCGGCCGGTCGCACCATGTCGCAGGGATCCGCCCGCCGCCAGCGGCCGCCCAAGGACCCGCTGCGGCACCTGCGCACGCGGGAGAAGCGCGGCCCGTCGGGGTGTCCTGGGGGCCCGAACACCGTGTACCTGCAGGTGGTGGCGTCCGGCGGTCGGGACGCGGGCGCCGCGCTCTATGTCTTCTCCGAGTATAACCGGTCAGTGCGCCGCGCCCGGAGTCTGACCTGGTCTCCGCGGCGTCTCCTTACCGAACCCATCCCTCCTCGCCGAGTCCTTCGTGCTGGGCAGCCTTGGAGCATCTCGGCACCCCTCGGGCTTCGGTTTTTCCTTTTTGACACATGTAGGATTTCAGTGTTGCAGCGGTGTTGGTGTTTTAGTGGGTGGGAGACCCTAGATTCCTTACATCTCTTTATCCTCGTGATTTCCGGGGATCGGTGCAGAACTTCAGACTTGGCTCTAAGCATCGCTTTCCCAACCTCTGGGACTTGGGCTGGTTGTGAGCACGCTTTGAGTGGTATCCCCTTCAGTGCACCCCAAGGCGAGGGCCTCATAGTTAGCGTGGGAGGTAGACTGATTTGGTGAGGAGCTGATGGAGGAGGGGACCTGTTTTGCTGCAGCACCAACCCACACAGACCCCTACTGCCCGTCGCCTCTGCTAAGGAGGGTTCAGAACCCACCATCCTAATAGTAGAAATGTGGTCTGATTGTGCAGCATGGATCTTTAATTTTTTTTTTCTTTTCCCCAAAGTCTGCAACAAAGCATCTAATTGGTGTGAGAGACTTTACAGACTAGAATTTTCTGAGTGTCCTGTGCAACATTTGTCTTGCAGGTATCTCTTCAACTGTGGAGAAGGCATTCAGCGACTCATGCAGGAGCACAAGTGAGTCAGTCATTTGCTTTTGAAGTAGAGATGGTTATGGAGCTTGACAGCTGACTGAGAGGCCAGTGTGTGTTTGTGTGTGAGTTTTTTCTCTGAGTCAGGACCCATTGTGTCTCCCAGGCTGGAGTACCGTGGTGCAATCACAGCTCACTGCAACCTCGACCTCCTGGGCTCAGGCGATTCTTCCACCTCAGCCTCTTGAATAGGGACTACAGGCATGTACCACCCACCTGGCTAATTTTTTAATGATTTGTAGAGATGAGGTCTTGCTGTGTTGCCTAGGCTGGTCTGGACTCAAGCAATCCTCCTGCCTCAGCCTCACAAATTGCCGGGATTAAAGCTACAGGTCTGGCCACCATGCTCAGCTGCCACTGTGTTTTTATAACAGAAGAAGTGGTCCTTGGACAATCCATTTTATCCTGCTCAAATATTTTCTCTTTCTCAGGTTGAAGGTTGCTCGGTTGGACAACATATTCCTGACACGAATGCATTGGTGTAATGTTGGGGGATTGTGTGGTGAGTATATGCTTTTCAGAATCAGAGGCTGGTGAGAAGTTTCTGGGATTATGAGCTGCTTGACCCCTTTTTTTGCCCACCTTTGAGTCCAGGGGAACTGAAATTCTTTTTATACCAGTCCAGTTCGTTGCAGCACACGGCATCAAAAACTGAGACTCAAAAGAATAGATTTTAACATGGATACCGCTTTCAAGTGTTTTCATCCACTTGATTTCTTGAGTTGTTGGGCCAGAGTTTTGTGATGGAAAACTGGAGACTGTAGTGGTGGTGATTACAGTAAACATGTTTAACACCGAGGCCATCAGCAACCACATGCAGATACCCACCGTCTGGCTTACGTCATCATTCTTCTTCATCAGCTGAGAATGTCAGGATTGTGTTGTAGAAAAATTCTGTAAGCTTGGTGGTGTTGATAGGAAGGAGTGGAGTATCAGACTGCTCCCTGTTGTCAGGGCTGAGACAATGGTGAGGCGAGTGAGGCACCTAGGTACAAAATTTAAGGCCATCCCTTCACTTGCATGATTTTGAGCATGAGCACCTCCTTAAATTTTGCACACTGGGTGCCTCGCTCTCACTGTAGTGTCCTCCCATTCTAGAGGCATTTGAGGAAAATTTAGTGTCCCCTAATACCTCTAGCTAGCATCACTTCTGCACTGTGCATGTTCCCTGATAACTGTTTAGAAGCTGGAATGAAGACATGTAGATAAGTAGCTAGATTAGTACAAGGTGCTCTCCCTGGCAGTGATCAGATTAAGTTGATGAGAGATCTGATTTTATGCATTCTTTTTAGGAATGATTCTTACTTTAAAGGAAACTGGGCTTCCAAAGTGTGTACTTTCTGGACCTCCACAACTGGTGAGTCTCTCCTGACTTACTTTTCAAAATCTACCCCTTACTTTTTAATGTTAGTAACAAGAATTTACGTTTCTGCAAATGAGTCTTCTGCCCTTCAGAGAAACTTGGTAGTAAATACTTCACTTTCCAAGTTAAAAGACTTGAGTTCAAAACTTAATAATTAAATATGTGACCTTGAATGAGCTACTTTACCTTTCTGAGCCTCAGCTTCTTCATCTATAAAATGACTATACAATTTCATAGAGTAGTTATTAAAGATAAAAAGATATAACTTGTAAAGCAACAAATCACTTTATTAGGTATTTGGCATCAAGTAGGTTTGTAGGCTGGGCTCGGTAATCCCAGCACTTTGGGAGGCCGAGGTGAGTGGATTGCCTGAGCCCGCGGGTTCAAGACCTGCCTGGGAAACTTGGCGAGACCTCATCTCTACAATAAATAAAAAATTAGCCGGGTATGGTAGCACGCGCCTGTAGTTCCAGCTACTTGGAAGGCTGAGGTGGAAGGATCGCTGGAGCCCAGCAAGTAGAAGCTGTAGTGGTCGGCAGCGGCACTGCATTCCAGTCTAGGTGACAGAGTGAGACTCCAACTCAAAAAAAAAAAAAAAAAAGTAGGTTTACGATAAATGGCAGCTTTGGTTTTTACTTATTTATTAAATTTCTGACATCTTACCTTTCAAGCCAGCTTATTACACTGTTGAGAAGTCGTGTGTATATTGTTAAAACTGTTGAATGTGATAGTTCATTTTTCAGTTCTTAAGAAGAAAGTCACCAAGATCTGTTAATTCTGTCCCCAAAATAAAGTCTGAAATCCATCCATTTGTCTCCATCTTGTTGAGGCCCTCATTATCTCTGCCTTATACACTTGTTTACTATAATAGCTTCCCATATTCATTGCTTCCCTGCAGTCCATCTGCCACACAGCAGCCAAGAGATAACTTTAAGACAGAAATGCAGTGTCACCTGTCAACCTAAAATCCTTCACGGGCTCCCCATTGTAATTTAAACAGCTTACTTGTGGTCTGCCAGTCCTGTAAGGCCCTGGCCCTTACACATAAACTTCTATCTGAACCTGTTGCTGAGCTATAGCTACAGCTGCAGGGACCAACTCTTAAAGTTCCTCTAATCTCCCTGCCCTCCAAAGTCCTTGTCCACCTCAGGGCTTTTGTGAGTTCCCTCTAACTCTGCAGGGCCAGCTAGAAGGTTGTTTACTCCAGAGCTGTCCCTTCTCTTCAGACAAGTTGGATCCTATCCCTCTGCTTTTTCTTGTAAGCGCTGTAGCATAATTGCTACTAAGTTGTTTCTGTTATCATTTGTTTCATTTTGTCTCCAGTGGATTCAGGAGAGCAAGGATTCCATTTCTTTTTCACTGCTAAATCCTTGGTATCTAACTGGAGTGAACCCTTGATAAAATACTTTAAATTAAAGCTTGTTTTATGCAGATACCTGTTGATGCCTCTTGAGTACTGTGCTGTGTTCTGTATTTGTTTAACCATAACTGTTCACTTCTTTTTTTTCTTTAGGAAAAATACCTAGAAGCAATCAAAATATTTTCTGGTCCATTGAAAGGAATAGACCTGGGTATGTCTTTGATTGTGACTCATTATCTGCTATTTTTTACTCATATATGCCCCAACCTCTCAAATTAGAATCCATTGAAAACATCTCCAACCTTAAAATCAATTGCTTCATCACTATGAGATGGATTTTTAAGATAGTGTCTGTTGCATTTTCTTTGCCCCCTCCTCATGGCTGCAAAAATATGGGCCAGGTAGGCAGGAGTGATTTAAAAACTGACAGATGGCTGCGTGCATGCTGTGTGACAGTCTCCCTTCAGGCACCAAGGCTCCTTCCCCAGTCAAATTGCCTTGAATTCCTTGTAGGAGGAAGAGGGGTGTGAGCAGAGGTTTGTAAAGGTTTTGTGGCCAACTCTGTACTCTGAACCTCAGTTCCAGCTGTGTCAGGAGGCTTGCAATCTCTTGATGGAAGAATACTCACTGATGATGCCAGGAGGCCCTGGTCCTGGAGCCAGTGTGCATCTTTGGCTTATTAATGCTCTTTTGTAGAAACACTAGTATTTTTGTTTCTAAATGTGTAATGGCTCTTATAGTTGAGGTTCTAGATTCTCTGGTCTCACAAGCCTATTTGTTAACTTGGACCTCTGTGTTGGTTTGTTTTTTTTTAATGGATAGTTACTAATGATTATAGCATGCGTTTTTATTTGGCTGTAGTAATTGTTTTAGCTGATGAACTACACTTTTGTTTATTTCCTTCAACTTTCAGTCTACCCAGAAATTCTGGTTTTAGTGGCAGAGTCCCACCAAAATTTGGAGACAATTCAGTTCCCTATTGGTTGTTATCTGGAGAGTTAATTTTCACAGTTGTCTTTACCCATTGTGTGGTTTTCTTATAGCTGTGCGACCCCACTCTGCACCAGAATATAAGGATGAAACCATGACAGTCTACCAGATCCCCATATATAGTGAGTATGAAAGCCAGATTTTCTAGGTGTTGGGTGTAGATTCTAAATAAGGAAGATATGGGTGAAAATGGAAACTGAACTGTTTTGTGTTCTGAGCATGATTAGGAAATTTAGCTGAGGAATTAAGATAATGCTTCTTTCTCTTTAAGTAGCTTATATTTTTATGGACAGATACATTTAACTCACATATAATAGATAGTAATTATGCTTTGGAATATTACATAGTCAAGTGCTGTCAGAACATATATTGCACTCAGATTTGCTCATTCATTGCTTGGGGCTTGCCACAAGCATAAGTATCCTCTTGATGAGGATTTTAGAGATGTTTGCACACATAAATATTTTAAAATAGACACTGATAATAGCAACCTAAAAGAAGCATTAGAAGAATAAAAAGAAATAAAAAATTATTCTTGTATTCTGAGGAAAAGAAAAAAAAAAATTTTTTAAAAAATATTGTTAGGTGTTGGGAGCTCCTACAAACCCTCAGGTACCAGGACCAGATGATATGGTTTTTATTTAGGAACAGGGTCAGTCTTCATGTCAGTCTCATCCTTGAGTTTGGCTAAATATGAGGTTACAGCTCCTAAGTTGCCTGAGCCAAGAGGAAACCCAGATAATCAAAATGCCCGTGTCTGGTTTTGCCTACATGTGAAGAGAATACCAAGCAGTGGGGACATTTTCTTGGCAGTGATAACTAGTATGATGCTTTGCTAAGTGCTGAAGGCTTACAGATGAAAGCACCCAACAAAGGCCAAAGAAGGGAGATAAGGGTTACTGACCCTTGGGGAGAAGGCAGCAGGGGTGTGGCTGGAGCAGTGGCATGAGCAGTCACGGGCCAGTGAGGTGACCAGGCTGAAGCCTTCTGCTTGCCTGGCTCACTCCTCCTGGTCAGATCTGACCCCTCCCACCACCACCTCCAGCCTGAGTTGTGCTGTGTCCCTGTTGTTCCTTTCTGGCACCTTCTTCCTTCTGTAACACATAATGGTGCATATCATGTGATCAATGCTTAACTTGCTCAGTTTTGTTGACTGTTGTGTTTTTGGGAGCCCAGTGGTCCCTGAATGAATGAACATACATGAAGAAGGAGCAAGCAGGGGTTCTGTTGAGACCAGCAGCTGAGCTTCCGCTTCTTAGAGCAGTAATTTTTTTTCTTGACCTTAAGACTTAACTAACTGCAGACTTATGCTCTTTCTGGAGATGGGTACCCTTTGCACCTCTACACGTTTAGTGAGAGTCATGATAATGAATAAGCATGCCTATACCCTGCAAGTTATTTAGTCAACAACAAACACTATTGAGTTTGTACTGTGTCAAGGCTCTGAGCTCAGCAGAAACATAAAGGTGAATAGGAGGACATACATGTAGCCCGGAGACCAGACAGACGGGTAACTAATTATTCACTACTGCAGTAAAAGGTGTGCTGACTTAATTGGCATTTTGGCATCCCTGTGTGTGAACATCTGGGCTTTGGCTGTGAGCTCACCTTGTACAGTGTCTAACTTGCTGTCCTGTACTGAACAGGTGAACAGAGGTATGGAGAGCACCAGCCTTCGCAGAGTCCGGGAAGGCCTCTCAACAGACTCAGTCCAGAGCAGTCCTCAGACTGTGGATTGACTAGAAACGAGCAGCACCTTCCTCATGGTAGTAGTATAAGCAAAATGGGACAACAGAAGGACCTGTGTTTTCTTAATTTTCTGCCTCGTAATACTCTTAAGTTGGAATCATTATTATAAGAAAACCATGGATATAAAATAGATACTTCTTCCTGGACACATTATGACTTGACTTGTGGGGAGCATGAGAAGGATTGTTGTAAAGGTAGCAGTCCTGGGTTTTAAAGACCAATCCTACCAGGGCCTGGGTAGGCCCTAAACTGTTCATTTTTTCCAGAGGGGAGAGAGCAGGGTCTGGCAAACTGATTTGTATAGAGGGCATTTATGTTTTTTATTAATGCAGAACTATAACTGCAAAACTGAAAACAGTCAAATCAATGAATGGATCTGCACCTTTTCTTCTAGAATGACAACCTGAAAAACTGAGTTAAAAGACCAAGATAAGATGTATCTAAAGAGGTGGACTGCTTAAGGAGTCTGTTATCCTTAATAGGACAGCACTGGCAAAGCTTGGGAGTTCCTGTTTCTGTCCTGAGGTTTTGTCTGTTGACTGAGAAAAGGCCTACCATTTTTTGGATGACACTGGGTGAAGACTGACACCCACATTTTCTCTCCAAGCCTTCTAGCTTTTGTGTTATTTCACACATTCTTATATGTTTTATAAAGCACATTTTGATTTTTTTTTCTCTTCTCCAGTCCTAAAAATTTTGCTTGCCATTCTAACATTTTTCTGGTTAGAGTTTTATGTAACCAAACACATCTCAACTTAAGTAGGAACAAAAGTATGCTTGAGCATACTAGTGTCTTCAACCTTTGTGATGGGACGGCAGCATCCATTTAATTTTTATGTGAAGTGAAATTTGGTATCGGGTAGTAATTTGTGATGTTTGCAACCTTCATATTTACTTTGTATAATCAGATGTGTTTTTTTTTTCAGGTGTTAGCCAGAAAAGAAATGGCAGGGACCCTTCCTTGGTGGTAGCCTTTGTCTGTAAGGTAAGAGAGCCTTTGCAGAGTGTGGTAAGTGATCATAAGCTTGGCAGGTGACCTTTGGTTAGCATTTTCCCAGTAATATGAGGTTATAGCTCCTAAGTTGCCTGAGCTAAGAGGAAACTCAGATAATCAAAATCTTTAACTTCTTTTTCTTTTCTATGCTTTGTCAGTATCTGTATGTGTTATTTTTGTCTGTGATCTGTCCTCTTAGAATTCAAAAATCATTGAAGGCAGCTGTGTTTGTTTTCCTTCAAGTCCCTTGTGTCGTCATTCAGACTCTTTTAACTCTTAGTTTATTTTGTTTCCCTGCAGTGGTTAGTATCTAACATCAGATTGATTTTGATATTAGCTTGCATTCACAAGACATAGATCTGCGACTCTGAAGTTGGTCAAATTCCATTAAAGATTTTTTTTTTTTTTTTTTTGAGTTGGAGTCTCACTCCATCGCCCAGACTGGAGTGCAGTGGCCGCTCCCGGCCACCGCAGCCTTGACCCGCTGGGCTCCAGTGATCCCTCCACCTCAGCCTTCCGAGTAGCTGGAATTACCGGCACTCGCTACTATGCCTGGCTGATTTTTTTTTTTTTTTTTTAACTTTAACCTTTCTTTTTATTTCTTTTAGTTCAGTTTATGCTATAATTTTTGTGAAATAATTATTGAATAAGAAATATTGCTTACAATTAAAGCAATTTAAGCAAAATATATTACTGAAGAAGTATCATTTATTGAATTAAATAATATAGGCTTCTTTTTTGTCTGTAATTGATGGACATTTGATTTTAAAAAGACACTGTTTGCATTAGGTCACCACAAAGTAGATTTACGTATAGCCATCAACAGAATAAAAACACAAGAAAGTTTCTATGTGATCCCAGCAAAGATACTCTTTCCTTAATCATAACAAATTAAATATTTTTAGAAGGTAAAACCATTAAGTTTACAAAACACAAAAACACTTTATTTTTAAGAAAAAGGTACAATTTCTCATTTTCTCTTCTTGGCATAAATTTTAATTCTTTCCAGTGGAAGCAAAACCTCCTGCGCCCCTTTCAGTGTCATCTAAAACTTGAACTTCTATTTCTGGATAAAAAATTCGTTCACAAATGAGCTGCGTAATTCGGTCACCTTTTTTGACTTCAAACTCTTCTTTGCCAAAATTAAACAGTACAACACCAACATTTCCTGTATAATCTTCATCTGTGACACCAGCTCCTACATCTATAAAGTGTTTTGCAGCCAAGCCAGAACGTGGAGCTACTCTTCCATAACACCCAGAAGGAAGAGCTATCTGAATGTCCGTTTTCACAAGAGCTTTCTCCATAGGTGGTATTGTATAATCATAGGCACTGTACAGGTCATAGCCCGCGGCCCGTGCGGACCCCCGGGTCGGGCCGAGGCGTGCTTGGAGAGCCGGGCAAAGCGGAGCTGCATGCCGCCCTTCTTCGCAGGCCGGGGCCGCTTGCTAAGGGAAATAGCAGGGGTCTCTTCAGAGCAGGGCATGGCCGAGAGAGAAGACCAGCGGAGGGAATAAGAGCGCAAGGTCGGCTGATTTTTTTTTTATTTATTGTGGAGATGAGGTCTCACCAAATTGCCCGGGCAGGTCTCGAACCTGTGGGCTCAGGCAGTCCACTCACCTTGGCCTCCCAAAGTGCTGGGATTACAGGCTGAGCCACCGAGCCGGCTCCATTAAAGATTTTTAGTACAGTAAGCTATTTGTAAGGTCTGACTAAAGCTTTATAGGACTTTGTATTAAAATTTTATTATAATATAGTCTGCAACAAAAAATTTTTTCTGATATGTGAAAAGACTTTATTGTTCTTTTGTGGGCTTAGATTTTTTTTTAATTTAAAAAAATTTTTTATTTTAAACATGGGATACAATTGAGGGTTAAGTATACAAATGTTCATTATGCAGGTATCCTTGTTGATGAGGTATGCACCCCCTCTGCGGGTTTCCCACTACTGCCAATCCCACCTCCCTCCCCACCTGGCATTTTCCCACTGCAGCCAATCCTTTTCTTATAATAGTACAATAATTGTTCGAAGTCCGCTTATAAGTGAGAACATGTGATACTCAGTTCTTTGTTTCTGTGATAGATCACTCAGTATTATAGACTCTTAAGACCATCTAAGTTGCTGTGAAGTTCATAATTTTGTCCTTCTTTATGGCTGTGTAATATTCCATAGTGTATATGTACCACATTTTTTTTTTTTATCCAGTACAGTTTTGATGGGCAGCACGGTTGGTTCCATGTTTTTGCTATTGTGGATAATGCTGCAATAAACATCCATGTGCAGGTATCTTTTTCATAGAGTAATTTGAGTTCCTCCAGGTATATTCCCAGTTGGGGATTGCGGGGTCGTATGGAAGGTCAATTTTTATATCTTTTAGGAATCACCAAACTGTTTTCCACAGAGGTTGTACTAGTTTCCATTCCCACCAACGGTGTAGAAGTGTTCCCTTTTCCCTGCATGCTTTCCAGCATCTGTTTTTTTGTTTTTTTTTTTTTGAGTTATTGATGATGACCATCCTGACTGGAGTTAGATGGTATCTCAGTGCGGTTTTGATTTGCATTTCTTTGATGACTAGTGAGGCTGAGCATTTTTTCATGTATCTGTTGGCTACTCATGTGTCTTCTTTTAAGAAATATCTATTCATGTCTTTTGCCCACTTTGTAAGGGACTGTTTTTTTTTCTTTTCAGCACGTTTGAGTTCCTTGTAGATTCTAGATGTTAGATCTTTGTCAGATATATAGTTGGCAGATATTTTTTTCCCAGGCTATGGGCTGTCTTCCAGGTTTCTTTGGCTTTGCAGAAGCTTGTCAGTTTGATGGGGTCCCACTTACCTATCTTACCTCTTATGGCATGGGCACTTGGAGTTTTGGTCAGGAATTGGTTGTCAGTTCCAATTTCCATAAGGGTGTCTCCTGAATTTTCTAAGATTCTTATAGTTTGAGGTTTTACATTTAGGTCTTTGATCCATTTAGAGTTAGTTTTTGTGTATGGTGATAGGTAGGGCTCCTGTTTCAATCTTCTGTATGTGATCAGCCAGTTTTTCCAGCACCATTTACTGAATAGGTTCTCCTCTCCCCAGTGGTTGTTGTTGGAGGCTTATCAAAGATGAGTTGGTTGAGAAATTGAAACTTTGCTTCCAGAATCTCTATCCTGTTCCATTGGTCCATATGCTTGTTCTTGTACCTATACCAGGCTGTTTTGATTATTTTAGCCTTATAGTAAAGTTTGAAGTCTGAAAGTGTGATCTGAAAGTGTGATACCTTCCACTTTGTTTTTCTTTTTTTTTCTTTTTGAGTTGGAGTCTCATTCTGTCACCCAGGCTGGAGGGCAGTGGCACACTCCCGGCCACTGCAGCCTCGACCTGCTGGGCTCCGGCGATCCTTCTGCCTCAGCCTTCCAAGTAGCTGGAGCTGCAGGCATGCACCACCATGCCCGACTAATTTTTTTTATTTATTGTAGAGATGAGGTCTCACCAAGTTGCCCAGGCAGGTCTCGAACCTGCGGGCTCAGGGCAATTTACTCACCTCGGCCTCCCAAAGCACGGGATTACAGGCTGAGTCACCGATCCTGGCCCACTTTGTTTTTCTTGCTGAGGATTGTTTTGCCTATTTGTGGTCATTTATGTTTCCATATGAATTCCTGTATTGTCATTTCCAGGTCGGAGAAGAATGCTGCTGTTAATTAATGGGTATTGTGTTAAATCTATAGATTGCCTTGGGTAGGATGGACATCTTAACAATGTTGATTCTTCCAACTCATGAGCATAGAATATTTTTCCATTTGTTTGTATCATCTTTGAGTTCTTAGAGCAGTGTTTTGTAGTTTTTTTTGTAAAGGTCTTTCACATCTCTGGTTAGGAAAATGCCAGGTACTTAATTTTTTGTGTGTGGCTATTATAAATGGGATTGTGCTTTTTATTTGGGTTTCTGTTTGTTTATTTTTGGTATATAGAAATGTGACTGTCTTTTACACATTTATTTTATACCCTGGGACTTTGCCTGAATCCTTTATCAGTGCAGGGAGATATTTGGACAGATTCTCTTGGGTTTTTGAGGTATAGAGTCATGTCATCTGCAAAGAGGGATAACTTGACTTTCTTTTTTCCTATTTGGATACCCCTGATCTCCTTATCTTGTCTGATTGCTCTAGCTAGGACTTCCAAAACTATGTTGAAAAGAAGGGGTGAGAGTGGGCATCCTTGTCTTGTTTTGGTTTTTAGGGGAAATGGTTCCAATTTCTGTCTGTTTAGCAGTATGTTGACTGTGGATTTCTAGTAGCTGGTTCTTACTATTTTGAGGTATGTTCCATCTATGCCTAGATGTTCAAGGGTTTTTATCAAGAAGGGGTGCTGGATTTTATCAAAAGCTTTTTCTGCATCAAATGATATAATCATGTGGTTTTTGTCTTTACATCTGTTGATGTATTTAATTACGTTTATGGTCTTGCAAATGTTGAACCAGATGGGCCCAGATTTTAAAAAGTAAAAAGTAGCCAGGCTCAGTGGCTCAGCCTGTAATCCCACGCCTTTGGGAGGCTGAGGTGAGTGGATTGCCTGAGCCCGCGGGTTCGAGACCCGCCTGGGCAGCGAGACCTCATCTCTACAATAAATCAAAAAGTCAGCTGGGCATGGTAGTGCATGCCTGTAATTCTGGCTACTCGGAAGGCTGAGGCAGAAGGATCGCCAGAGTCCAGCAGGCGAGGCTGTGGTGGCCAGGAGCAGCCACTGCACTCCAGTCTGGGTGACCGAGTAAGACTCCAACTCAAAAATAAAATAAAATAAAATAAAAAAGAAAAAAGTAATAATACTGATTTTAAAATATGTTTGGAAATTTTCATCCAGATCACTCTTACACACTCTGGCAGTTGCCCTGTTATTAGGCAGCTGTTCTGGGAGCTACCAGCTGCCTGCCCTGGCTTTTCTGTCTCCTTCCTTGCTTGTCTGCTGCTGCTCTTAAGGGCTGTTCTCACTGGGTCAGCCTGTAGCCCCTTTTTCCTCTTCTAAATAATGTGCTGTTCTTGGCTGCAGTTTTAGAAGGCAGTAAAGCTGAGCTAGTTCACGTTCTGGGGGACTCCAGGCATGAGGGCCTGAGAAAACACATCTGATAGGGGAGCTTGGGCTTTGGGCAGCTGTTGTGTAGGGCCTTGTTAGCTGCATTCTGGTTCTCCTCAGTCTTGGAAATACTCTGCATTCCTCAGAGGGGAACAAACTCCATGGGTTGAATTGATTTTGTGGAGAGATGGCTTTCTCCTGCCTTAGGTCTGCAAATGCCTTTTAAACATTAGAAACATTCAGTTACCATCCTCAGACCCATTTGGGTGTAAGGAGAGAATGTTTGGTTATAACAGTGCTTTTTAATTATCTAAAGATGTCTGCAGAACTGCATTGTCTTATGTGCTATGCACACACTGAAGTTGTAATCCTTCCTCTAGTACATTGTTTTTCAAGGTGGAAAATTCTAGGATCTCAAACACATGACTTTAGCATCCAAATTTCAGTCTTGACCCTAAGGCTAACTTAACTTCAGGAAGTTAAAAGAAATCGCCAAAAGTATGTGAAAAATTTAAAGAAGAAAATGAAAAATATATTTCAATACCCAAAGACCTATTAACATCTTACATCATTTCTAACTTTTTTCTGTTATTGTATGTGAAATATGTAGAGCCCAAAAATATTTGGACAGCAATCTTTTTTTCAGTATGGCAATTATGAAGTTTTGTGATAGGATTATTGTTTGCCCTGCTAACATAATAAGAGCATATTGGATTTTTTTTTTTTTTTTTTTTTATTTTTGAGTTGGAGTCTCACTCTGTCGCCCAGACTGGAGTGCAGTGGCCTCTCCCGGCCACCACAGCCTCGCCTACTGGGCTCCGGTGATCCTTCCGCCTCAGCCTTCCAAGTAGCCGGTACAGGCATGCGCTACCACGCCCGGCTGATTTTTTGATTTATTGTAGAGATGAGGTCTCGCTGCCCAGGCGGGTCTCGAACCCGCGGGCTCAGGCAATCTACTCACCTCAGCCTCCCAAAGGCGCAAGATTACAGGCTGAGCCACTGAGCCCGGCTGGATATTTCTTTAATTATATTTTTTCTCCAATATAAGAGCAGTGACACTATATTGCCAAATAATTGAAAAGTACAGAAGAAAAAAAACCCCACTCATCCTTTTGTTAGCCTACCACTGTCATTGGAATATGGTATTACACAGCAATTTGCTTGTCATTGTTCTATTAGACAGTATTCTGGTGATGCTCCTTTAGCTATTATTGATAAGTATAGAATGATAGAACAGTGTTTCTTCTCAAGGATACTTGACGGATACTTATTTTTAACTTTGATATGGAAATGAGCCACATTTTATTAAATTTATATGAGTTTAGTGCTCAGAAATAAAGCACTGTGTTTTAAGTCATTCAGCTTTTATTACTAAAGCATTTAAAAATAAGTGACTTAAGAATATGTATACTTTCTGAAAGTAGTAAGCTGTATTTGTTTGAATTGTGGGAAAATAGCATTAATTTTTTAAAAATCCAGAAAGATAGAAGAAAAGTTGATTAAAACCACACTTCATGAGCCACTGCATTCACATTTACGTTCTCTTTGTTGCAGCTTCACTTAAGGAAAGGAAACTTCTTGGTGCTCAAAGCAAAGGAGATGGGCCTCCCAGTGTGAGTGTCAGGGGAGAAGGTATTGGGGACTTGCAGGTCACTGCTTTGTCCTTCAAGAAAACTCAGCTCATAGCACGCTTGCCTTTTCATTCCAGTGGGACGGCTGCCATCGCTCCCATCATTGCTGCTGTCAAGGACGGGAAAAGTGTCACTTATGAAGGAAGACAGGTGAGATGCCTGGTTTTCTTGATGACTCAGTAGTTACAAGGAGGGCCTGGAACATTGGACAGAGTCACTGTCTGGTTCAGGCCCTATAGACACCAATTTGGAATGAAGTGGAACAGCTTGAACATCTGTCGCTTGGTTAAGTATAAAAGAGGCTCTTACCATGTCAGCACTGCTGTGTCCAAACATTTCTGTAGCCTGTCCATTTAGGATCTGGTGGTCCTCCTCCTTACAGGATGGATGCTTTCCCTTGTGCTTGAGCTCAGGGTATCGTTGAGCAACAGACACCGTAGGATGGGTGCATGGCCCAATAGAATGTCACCTTGTTCTTTATCAAGATGTTTTCTCTGGCTTCTAAGGATGTTAGTATCAGTGGCCACAGACTGAAGAGAACCTTAATACCTTGTTTCCTGGCCACTGTAGGTTTGAAGTGTCTTTGCAAGCTAGTTGCTTGTCTAATTAAATATAAACAGAGAGCAGTAAGGGTGTAGGTGGTGATCCTTAAAGGTGGTTTTGTGCTTTGTGTACCTTTCTCAGCTTGCTGCATAGGGATACATAATATTAGCAGTTAGTTGCCTTCAAGGTGGTTCAATTTGGTTGCTGAGCTGTGACTGTTCTGGGATAGTGTCATGACCCAAGTGAGCTGGCTTATTTGATTTTGCAGATTTTGCCTGAAGAGATTTGTACTCCTCCAGATCCTGGTCTTGCTTTTATTGTGGTAGAATGTCCGGATGAAGGATTCATTCAACCCATCTGTGAGAATGTCACCTTTAAGAGGTAATGAGGGGTGCCTGGGGTGGGAGAAGTGAGAGCTGAAGCCCAGCCCAGCATTGACAGAGGCATCTTGTATATAGAACTGTGTCTCTGGGAAGGCCCATTGCCTGGGCTTGAAATGCGGAGGCCAGGACTTTTCTACCTTAGGGTCAGTCCTACTGGCAGGATTTATGTTACTATTGGTAGTGGGTTTTGTGGTGTACAGAGCCTTGGATTAAACTAGAAACCACTGAGAACTAGGAAATTAACTAAAACTTTTTTTTTTTTGAGTTGGAGTCTCACTCTGTCACCCAGACTGGAGTGCAGTGGCACGTTCACAGCCACCACTGCCTTGACCTGCTGGGCTCAGGTGATCCTTTTGCCTCAGCCTTCCAAGTAGCTGGAACTCCAGGCATGCGCCACCACGCCTGGCTAATTTTTTGATTTATGGTAGAGATGAAGTCTCACCAAGTTGCCAGCTGGTCTCAAACCCGTGGGCTCAGGTAATCCTCTCACCTCGGCCTCTCAAAGTGCTGGGGTTATAGGTGTGAGCCACCACATCCGGCCTTAACTAAAACTCTTAGGAGTTCTAATTAGAATAGGTTCTATAACTTTCTTACATTCTCATTAATGCCCTAAATTATTATTTAGATTATTTTTAACTATATGAATTTTCTTCACTTGCCTGCATTGAAACTAATGAAGTAGGTCAGAGTATCTGAGACCATCTTGGTCAAGAGTCTGTGTTAAGGGACAGGATCTGAACCTGCAAACATCTTTCAGGCCCAAGTGCAACTCTGTTTTGTCCTCCAAAAAAGTTAGCCAATTCTGTAGTTTTGCTTTAATACCAGGTAGAATCTTTGACCTGCATGTCTGTGTTTTAATTTTTTCCCTCATTCTTAATGGTTTATTTATATTTTCCTGTTCCTCATTTTTATTTATATGTTTTCACTTGTTTTATTCTCCTTGCATAACAAATCCTTTGGGCTGCTTCACCCCTTCCAAGTCAGAGTGTTAGAAGTTCTTCCTGGGTCCGCTTTATTCTCTGGATGAATTAGGTTCCTGGTGGCACAGGCTTTGTGTTTTAATCAAGTTTTGGGCAGCAAAGCTTCTTCAAGTCACTGACTGAGATGTCATTTGAGAGCCTTGCACGTGTGAGTGATGGCGGTGGTCGGGATAAATAAAAACAGCTACTGTGAGTATTTAAAGGGAACTGGAAGCAGACACAGCAACATGTTAGTGGTCTTCTCTCTAGGTGGTGGGATTTCAGGTGATTTTCATTTTCCATGTGGGTTTCTCAGGTTCCACGGCAGATATCAAGGTGGCATTGGAGGTACAGATTTATTGGATGAAGTGCCTGTGAGAGATGGAGAGAGGGAGCAGGAGAGGCAGGGAGAGCCTTTGTCTGGCTTTGCAGGTCTGACCCCTGTGAATGGAGAGGACAAGAGCCTGAGACGGCAGCACAGTACTGAGAAAGGCTAGGCCAGGCAGACCAAAGGCCCAGAGTGGAGCTTGCCTGCTAGAGGAACCCCATGTTGAAAGGAAATGGCCCAGCACTGGGACCTGGTGTGCTCAGGCAATACTGGGGGCAGCCCAGGGGAGGGCATAGCCTAGACCTGGAAGCTGTAAGTCCACTGTGGTGCCTGCAGAGGGCAGAGTGGCATCTCTCCCTGTTGGCACGGTCCCTGTCTGTACATGTCCTGAGTTTTTATCAGTTGATAAAATAAAACCCCGCTCTTCTTTCTGTCCAGGTACCAAGGAAAGGCTGATGCCCCTGTGGCCCTGGTGGTTCACATGGCTCCAGAATCAGTGCTTGTGGACAGCAGGTACCAGCAGTGGATGGAGAGGTATGGACCCCGGTCCAGTGGCACTCAGGGCAACTCTTCTGGGTGGTGGTGCGATTCCCCCTCTCCTCCCCTCTTGATCTTTCAAGTGCTACCTTCCCTCTGTGTCTACCTAAACTTCCACTGGGATTCCTGCCTTCCCTGAATTCTGGAAGCACTGGTTTGTAGCATGTGTGTGAAGAAAACCCACCGCTAGGTGGCGCAGTGTCTCCACATGTCCCACTTGTACTAGGGATTTGATTTCACATCATTTTTTACCTGCCACACACTCACTCTCCGTGTCCGAACAAGTACTGCATTTGGTTGATGATTCCACATGTGAATTCTAAAGAGGAAACTTGCATATATAAAATAATAGCTTCCACTTACTGAATGCCCATTTCATGTCAGTCAATATGTTAAATATTCTGCATTTCACTTCATTTTCTCTGGTTTACTGTACCCCACAACCCTGTGAGGTAACTTGAGTTTATACCACAGCTTAGTAACTGAAGGGAGAGAGTGCTCTACCTTTTCCTCATGGCATTGTTGGCTAAGGCCAGCATCTGGTGTAAGAGTCTGAGCTGAACTCGGGGTGCAGTGACTTTGTGTTACTTTTTGGCATCGCCCCCTGCATTCCCAACATAGCCCTCTTCACTCTGTCTCTCTACTCCTGCAGCCTCTTGCTTCCCAGCTGTCTCACCTGTTCTTTCCAGATTTGGGTCCCAATATATATTATTTAATTTCCTCTTACACTCTGTACCCCATTGTTTACCCAAGTCCCTACCTGTAGGCCCCCAAAATCTTAGTTTTTCTGTTTTATTCTACCATTGTTTTTTTTTTTAGTTGGAGTCTCACTCAGTCGCCCAGACTGGAGTGCAGTGGCACGCTCACGGTCAACCCCAGTGTCAACTTGTTGGACTCAGGCATTCCTTCTGCCTCAGCCTTCCAAGTAGCTGGAACTACAGGCATGCGCTACCACTCTCGGCTAATTTTTTATTTATTGGACCCGTTGGCTCAGGCAGACCCCTCATCTCGGCCTTCTAGAGTGCTGGGATTACAGGCTTGAGCCACCACGCCCGGCCTCCACCACTCTTGATAGCACACGTGAAAGGTAGCCGAGGAAAGGAGAGAACACTGGCATTAGAGACGCAGGAGTAGGATTATGTGTGGCCACTTAGTAACAGTATTTGGGGCAAGTCACTTAACTCTTTGAACATTTCCATCTGCCTTATTGCCGCTAATCTCCAGTGCTGCTTCTTACATGTAATTGCTCCCTCGTGGATGTTCTAAACATAATGGTCTTATTCATCTTAGGTTTGGACCTGACACCCAGCACTTAATCCTGAATGAGAGTTGTACCTCAGTTCACAACCTTCGCAGTCACAAGATTCAAACACAGCTCAACCTCATCCATGCGGATATCTTTCCCCTACTCACCAGTTTCCCCTGTAAGGTACTGTGCCAGGATGGTCCCTTGGAGGCCTGACTGTGTCCCCTTTTCTTCCCCTCCATGGAGTGTTTTTGTCTCTTCCAGGAGGAAGGCCTCACCCTCAGTGTGCCCACAGTTCGTGGTGAATGCCTCCTCAAATATCAGCTCCGTCCCAAGAGGGAGTGGCAGAGGTCTGTGCCATTCTGAGTTGTGGAGTTATCTAGGTCAGGGGTTGGTAAGCTTTTCTGTAAGTTCTGGTAAGCTTTTGGGGCCATATCATCTCTGTTGCAACTACTCAGCTCTGTGTTGTACTAAAGAGCCACAGACAATGTGTAAATGAATGGCCTTGGCTGTGTGCCAGCGTGAGTTTATTAAGCCGCCTGTGACTGGGGTGCTGGTGGGAGGAGTGGGGCCAGTGGTTATCCTTTTCTAAAATTGTTTTCCATGGTGATAAGAGGGCTCATTTGTTTTGCAATATAGAAAGTAAGAAATGCATGATGAAAAAAGTCACCCATATTCCTGTCACCCAGAAGTTATGATTGCTGACATTTTGTGTTTTTTAGTTTGTATATATAGGGATATACATATTTTTTTTTTAAAGAATATGTGGGTTCATGGCCTGACATTCTTAGTTTTTTCTGTGTCATCAAATAAGTCTTCAGTAATAAGATTTTTATTGGTACTCAAGATAGCAATGTTTACTTATTTGTATGTTGAATTTTTTGGTGTTTTGCTGAAACAAATGTCTTGTATATAAATTTTTGAATGGAACTCTGTTCCTTTAAGGTAATTCCTTAATGTGGGATTACTAAATCAAAGCGTGACTCCTCTTAAGGCACTTGGTAAGTATAAATTGTGATCTAGAAAGCCTCTACCCATACCCAGGAAAGTGGAAAATCTTACTATCCCACATCTTTATTTTAATTTTTAATATCTGAACCTTGAATAATTTTAAGTTTCCTGTCCACTTCATAGTTTTCATATTAGAAAAATGTTCTGGATTATTGCTGGGTGCTGTGTGCTGCTGTGGTTCAGCAGTTAGGGCTTCTTAGGAGACTATTTGGTAGCATGACTCAGGCCCACAGACACCTTGGGGCTGAGGAGCCTGCTGTCCCTTTGTCAGCATCTGCACAGGCTGTTACATAAAGCAGTTAGCAAACCTAGCCAATATTCGATTTATCTTGTGCTTGTGAAAAATAAAATTATTGGGGCCTGCCCTAGACCTACTGAGTTAGAATCTTGAGTTAGGTTTGGGACTCATTTCATAAGCTCTCAGGTGATTTCAGTGCTCAGCCAGGTTGAAGAGCTGCCTGTCCAAGATGCTGTAACTCAATGTGGTCAGGACCAGCAATATCAGCGTTCTCTGGGGGTTTGCTAGACATGCAGGATCTCAGGATCCACGCCAGACCTACCGAATATGCATTTTACTGGTTCTGCATTTCACTGAATCTGCATTTCACCAGGTCTGCATTTTGACAAGGTTCTCATGAGATTAGCTGTGTATACAGTCATTTGAGAGTCTCTGTTTTAGGGCTGGGCTTCTCAGCTGGGACCATTTGGCAGTGTCTGGAGATATTTTTCATTTTCACAACCTGGGGTGGGGGGCGGTTAATGGGTAATGGTCAGGAATGTTGCACAAGACAGCCCCCACCACAAAGAATTATCCTGTCCCAAGCAATAGCAGTGCCCATGGTCAGGTGCTGAGGCTGAGGGATGTTCTGAGGAAAAGCTATTCAGAACTCCCTCTGACATACCCCTTCCTTCTTAGCGGAGAAGAATTCCAAAGGGCAGTAGAACTGAAATCCCTGGGTCTTAGTTACTTAGCCTTCAGTATTGATTTGAAAGAGCTTCCTGCAGATTGCCCCCTTGCATTTATTCTGGATATCCAAACTGGTATTTGCAGAGACCACACACCCCTGTCAGTCACCTGAGATGCTTCTCTCCCTGCAGGGATGCCATTGTTACTTGCAATCCTGATGAATTTGTAGCTGAGGCCCTGGAGCTTCCCAACTTCCAGGAGAGCGTGCAGGAGTATAGGAAGAGTGTCCAGGATGGCCCAGCCACAGCAGGTGAGTAGAAGACCACTGGGCAGCCTTTCTTTCTTGGGCTCTGCCCCCTGCAGGTGTTTTCATAGCATCGAGTTGAGTGTCAGCAGGGCACATTCTAACCTGATTTTAAAATTTAATCCAGGGCTTTTCACAATAGAATTACAGCTATGGAGTAACGGAGTTGGGGAACTTAAGAATCCTAATGCCTGTGCCCCATCCCGCCCACTGTTAAGTAGTTCTACTCTGAGTAGAACAGTTTGGGGAACACGTGTGAGATCCTGTGGAAAGAGCTTTGAACAGAGACTTGGCTGACTTGTGGTCTAGTCTTGACTTTGGTAATATGTATCCACAAAATGTCTTGGCCAAGTCACTTTGTTGGATCTTTCGCTGCCCCATCAGGAAGAGTAGTTAGGGAACTTTATGACCCCTACTTTTGCCATTGGTTTTTCTAGTTTTCTTTTCTTTCTTTTTTTTTTTAATTTTAAAGATGTAGGGTACAATTCAGGGTTAGATACACAAATGTTCATTATGAAGGTAACCTTCAGTTTCCCACTACTGCCTATCCCATGCTTCCCCTTATTTTCAACTAGTGACAGAAGGAACATTGGCATAGAGGGCAGGTTAGGGGTTTTAACCTAGCCCCAGGATCTTTCACAGACTTGCATCTCTGTGGAAGTCAGCATCAGGCAAGCCATAAATCTTCACCTCTTTTGGTAATAGCATTCCTGTCGTATTTTGGGAGGACTTACTTCCTGGGAATTACTTTCTTCTCTGTTTATTATGCATATGTTTTGGTTTTCTATGCATATGTTAAAGATCCGTTTAGATCCAGAGATGCTTGCAAATGTGCACATGGGGCCTATTGGGCTGGATGAGGCCAAGAAGCACAGGCTTCTGAATCATCAGCTCTCATCATCAATCATCAGATTTGAATTCTGACTCTGCCTCTTACTATCTCTGTGGAGACCTGGCCCTTGGAGACCGTTTCCTCCCCTGTAAAGTGGGGTGTTTCCTACCCAGTGGAGTGGTGAGGATGCACCTGAAGGGCATGATCTGGTAGTAAGAGGTAGATGCGAGTAGCCACCACTTCCTTGAAGTAAAAGACAATTCATAGCATAAAGAAATCCCCCCACTTTTTTTTTAAATTCTAAAATAATTAGAGAAAGGACTGTAGAGTTTATTTGCTGTCCCTCCCCGACACCTGCTGGCTCACAGACAGCCTACAGGTCTCACTGGAGGAAGTCCTTTGCATGGAGTGGTTGCCAGGGCCTACGAGCACCTCTTCTGGGAAGCTGGACTTAGCTGTATTGCTTACCCATCTGTCTAAGTTCATTCCTTGTTGCTTTAAAAGCATACCTGAGACTGGGTAATTTGTATAGAACAGAAGTTTGTTTAATAGTTCATGTTTCTGCCAGCTGAGCAGTTCAAGATCACAGCCCTGACTTTTGAGAAAGGTTTTCTTGCTGCCTCATCATAGGGTTGAGAAGGTCAAAAGGAAAGCAGACACTTGTGAAGAGAGGAAAACCTGAACAGTGCCCTAGCTTTATAGCAGCCCAACCTCAAAGGAACTAATCCATTCTCTCTGGAATGAGTACCCACTGCTGTGAGAACAGTACCAAGCCACTCACGAGGGATCTGCTCCCACAAACCAAAAGCCTCCCACTAGGCCACATCACTAGCACTGCCACATTGGGGATCAAATTTCAGCATGGGGACAGACCACATCCAAACCATAGCATTTTCTCATGGCTGAATGCTGGCTTACTTTTGACCCAAAGAAATTGACTATTTTACATGTGTTTTTCTACAGATAAAAGAAGTCAGTATCCTGAAATCATCTTCCTTGGAACAGGGTCTGCCATCCCAATGAAGATTCGAAACGTCAGCTCCACACTTGTCAACATAAGGTATTACTGCTTTCTCAGAAAACATCTTTCCATCGAGGAGCATGCTTATTTTTTAGCAAAAGTCCTGCTTCACCCAACCAACTAATTTGGAAATCTAGAGGCATAAAGCCCTGTAAACTTGTTGTCTTGGCTAGAGTGGTCTGGAGAGGAGTAGTAGGCTTGCTTAGATTTTATAGCCTCAATGACTACCTTTTACTGCTGGAGATCACCAATATTCATCCCCTTATGTCTTTTAATAAAAATAACTGATACTACTGTGTGCTGTCACCTTCCTAAGTAATTCTCTCACTTAATTTTCATATTCTGATGAAGTAATGAATAACCTACTCATTTTATTGACTGGTAAAATGAAGCTCTCAGACATTACTTGCTCTAGCTTCTATAGCTGGTAAGTAGCAGGTCTAAAATTTGAGCTGATGTCTTAATTGCTACATTGTACAGTCCCTTTAGCTAGTCAATGTGCGTGTATTAAAAAGCCTTTGGGTTTTGTACATTGTTCTGTGTTCAGCCCCTTTACTGAATTCCTCTTGACATGTTTTTTAGTTAATTCTCTTGGGTTTACCGGGGTTACTTATCTGCAGAAGTGAATGAATTAGAGGCATTGAGAAATGAGCACACATTGAGATAGGTATGTGAAGGAAATAAGACAGTGAAGTACCAGCTTAGATTTTAAATTTAGCTTTGTTCCCCCCCCAATCTTGGATACTAGTGGTATGTGATAAACATCCAAATAATGTATTAAATGTATCCAGCATTGAGGAGCTGCACCCTGACAGCAGAAATAATACATGTCTAGGGCTTGTCTCCCTATGACTGAGGTGGTGCAATGGAGCTCTCTGGGCAAGCTGGCCTCTCCTGGAGGCTTAGAAAAGAAGGGGTTCTCTGGCTGCTGATCCCAATACCCTTAGAGTGGCCCTTGAACCTGCTGTGGCCAGCCTGCCTCTCACACATTCTCCCCGGAAGGTAATGTCTCAATACTGAGGCTTCTCTCCACAAAACGGGTACAGCCCTCCACGTCTTCATGCTTCTCCCAGAGAAAGAAGGTCAGAAGGAGATACCGCTCTCTCCACTTCAGAACAGAGCTTCTGGAACGGACCCATCAAAATAGCCCGAGGAGCTTGTCAGAATCCAAGTTCCCAGAGCCCTGCCTGTGACTGGCTGAGTCAGAAGCCCTGAGTGGATCCCAGGAATCTGCAATAACTAACATGCAGCCTGTCCTGCACCAGATGGCTTTGAGGACATGAGCTGAGAAAACCCCAACTGCTTGAAAGAGGGGAGAATCTAACAGCAGCCAGACCCAAAACAATCTTGTGTGTACACAATGTGTCTCTTTGGTATTCTCTACATAGTGTTGTCACATTCAATCTATATAATGAGAGAATCATTGTTAGGAGTAGATGTTTTTACCCTCCATTTCACATAATTTTTTTTTTTTTTTGGATATTCAGCATTTTTGTCTGTATACTTTAAACAATTTCAGTTCCCATGGATAACTCTTGAATAAAAAGAGGATAGACAGATCTGAAATTAAATTTATGGTTAACTCAATTGACTTTTATATAAGCTCCTCAAAGAAAACACATAAGAAGTAATGGAATACATAGACATTTCCACAGTTGCTTCTGTTCTTCTCTAAAGCAAACATCGCCCTCCAAACCGTCTCCAGCCCCGTCTCCAGCCTTTTTTATGATGGCGAATCTCTCGTCTTTCTTCTGTAGCCCTGACAAGTCTCTGCTCCTGGACTGTGGCGAGGGCACATTTGGGCAGCTTTGCCGTCATTATGGAGATCAGGTGGACAGGGTCCTGGGTACCCTCGCCGCTGTGTTTGTGTCCCACCTGCATGCAGATCACCACACGGTGAGTGTTGGGCTGAACCACAGAGCTTGATCCTGGAGGGAGGTGCTGCTGCATTTAGTGGACATGTCAGCTGCTGTCCTTTCCTCCTGTTCCCAAACTTGCCTAGAGCTTTTTTTTTACTCATCTCTTGCTAGGAAATGGTCTTTCACAAAACCCCAGCACATTCCTCCTTTCTGCTCAGAAAATGTCTTTCTGTTTATTTCCTGCAGCAGGATGGGTTTGGAGTTTACCCAGCCTTCTGTTTTTTGTTTGTTTGTTTGTTTTTTGTCTTTTGAAATGGGCAACAGAGTCAGACTGACTCATTCTGTCACTCAGGCTGGAATGCAGTGGCATAATAGCTTACTGCAGCCTCAAATTCCTGGGCTCAACCTCTCAAGTAGCTGGGACTATAGGTGCACACCACTACACCTGGCTCAGTTTTAAATTTTTTGTAGACACAGGGTCTTGCTGTGTTGCCTAGGGTGGTCTCAAACTGCTGGCCTCAATTGATCCTCTGGCCTTAACTTCCCAATGTGTTGGGATCACAGGCATGAGCCACCATGTGGGCTCGACCACCCCAGCTTTCCTTGAATCTTGCCTTCTCACACAGCTGGCTCAGCACAATCTTTGGCCAGACGTGGGAGGCATGGCTGAGACCTTCACTTTGGTCTTTTAGAGGTGCCTGGGTCCTGGGCCATTGCCGTCTCTTTCTATCATGGGTTGCATTGCTTTCTGCTTGTGACATTTCAGGGTCATGGTCAGCATGCACTCCATCCCTATTATAGCAGTGTTAGAGGGCTGGTGGTTGACAGAGGGCTGGTGACTTTGTACAAGAAGAGGAATCCAGAGTCCTACACTGGGGTAGAAAGTTGCGTTGGGACCTGGCTAATCTCTCTGTCTTGTTTCCTTCCCAGGGCTTGTTAAATATCTTGCTGCAGCGAGAACAAGCTTTGGTAAGTGTAGCACTAGAGTGACTGTTTGAGTTTTAGTGGTTTACATGTGATCAGCCATGCCTCTTACCATTCCAAACCCTTTTTGAGATGTTCTCTTGTTGACTGGGCACTTGGATTTTACTGTTTCAGGTGTCTTTGGGAAAGCCATTTTGCCCGTTGCTGGTGGTTGCCCCAACCCAGCTGAAGGCCTGGCTCCAGCAGTATCACAACCAGTGCCAGGAGGTTTTGCATCACATCAGGTGAGGAATCCAGGGCAGCCCAACCTTCCAAGCTGTTGCTTCCCACTGCCTCCTTGAAAAGCTCAAGGCTGATGTTGGGGCAGTTGAAATCTCCTGGCAGCCTTTGACTTTGTCCCAGGTGGCAGAAGCAGGGGAGAAGTGCTTTGATTCAAGGGCAGAAATGATTAGGTGTTTCTTTAAAGGATTTCTTCTCAGCCCTCATTTCAGTTCTGAGTTGCTTTCTAGACTTCTGTAAGCATTTCTCCGTGAGACAGTTCCAGGACCAAGCACCCTAACAGTGGCTAGTACAGAGACAGCCCACACCAGGTGGTGGATAGATGGCTGGGAGTTGACCCATCCTCACCTGAAGGGGAAGTAGTCCTATCTACCTGGATTGGCCCCTGACCTGTGTTACCTGAGTTGAGGAGAGCATTCACCTGTCAGGTTTCTTACAGTGGCCTGGGGGTTGATTTGACTTTTTGACAGCTATTTGCCCACCTTAGTGACTGATTTAAATCATGTTTCTTTGTAAGAATGATTTTGGGGCTCTCCAGCCAAAGACTTGAACTTTGATTCCAGGTGTTCAGTATTTTGTTTGTTTTGTAAATGTAAATCATCATGGTAACTGTTTTATCTTCTCCCAGTATGATTCCTGCCAAGTGCCTTCAGAAAGGGGCTGAGGTCTCCAGTCCCACGGTTGAAAAGTTCATCAGTTCATTACTGGAAACGTGTAATCTGGAAGAGGTAAGGGGTCCAGCCGCAGGCATTGAGGGGGTGAAATGGGCTGCAGAACTGCAGACCTCCAGCCCTGTCTTTCCAGTTCCAGACTTGCCTTGTGCGGCACTGCAAGCATGCCTTTGGCTGTGCGCTGGTGCACACATCCGGCTGGAAAGTGGTTTATTCAGGTGACACCATGCCATGCGAGGCGCTGGTCCAGATGGGTGAGTAGAGGAAGAAGTGAGCTGCACTGAGGTTGCTCTGGGATATTATAACTGGAGGTGAATGTAGATGAACTTGCAGGAAAACATCAGCAGAGGCAGCAGACTCAGGTCCCCACTCTGACAGTCTCTTGATTGTCATCCTAATGTACAGACAAGTGACAGTGCCAGGGGAGCTGAGGTTGGGGCCAGGAAACAGTCATGTGTCCCAGGGCCATGCGGTGCTCTTACCCAGGACGCCTTCCTGATGCCCATGATTCTTCTCCAGGGAAGGATGCCACCCTCCTGATACATGAAGCCACTCTGGAAGATGGTTTAGAAGAGGAAGCAAGGGAAAAGACACACAGGTAGCAAAGGCCAGTCGGTCTTGTCACCCATGACCTTTCCTTCCCTCCAAGTGAAACTTGGAACAGCCTTGCATCTGTCCCAGTGGAAAAGACCATGCCCTCCACTGATGCAAGGCTTCCTGTCTTCCTACCAAGGGCTATGGGGGCTTCCTGAGCCCGCAGTAGTGCTCCCATGGGCCCCCCATCTTTATTTTTGCAGAGTTCTCTAGGCAGGGTTCTAGGGTGAGGTAGTAGTTTTTTGAAATAATTAGAAACACGATAATAAACTATAAGCTACGCAGGGAGTTGCTAGAGGAAAGCAGAGGCTGGGGAATGAATCTTAGGCTATTACTTCAACAAAGCAGTACATTATCCCCAAATAGGCCCCGTGCTTTTGCTCAGGTGCCCTCGCAGACAGGTGGTCCTGCCAACAAACAGGGCAGAGAAGGTAGGCTTCATTCTTTGGGAGAGTATGTGAAGAATCTGCCCTAAGGAGATATTATTTTGGCTAAATGGTGCCTGTTAAGGACATCCAACAGCCTCCCTGGGTGCCCTGTGTAGTTGAGGGCCAGGTCTATGCCAGCTCTCTGCCTTGGCTCAGTTTTGATCTCTGCTATGTCCTTCATATGCAGCACAACCTCCCAAGCTATCAGTGTGGGGATGCGGATGAACGCGGAGTTCATCATGTTGAACCATTTCAGCCAGCGATATGCCAAGATTCCCCTCTTCAGCCCTGACTTCAACAACAAAGTTGGAATTGCCTTTGACCACATGAAGGTTTGTATGTCATGTGGGCAGTGTGGGGTTCCGGGGATAGGGCAGAGAAGGGAACTCCATGCAGTGTACAGGACAGTCCACTGGAGACTCTTTTCTGGCTCGGGGCAACCCAGGTAATAGGATATCTACCCATTACTAACAAGCTAATAACCACACCGAGTTTGGTGATGAGACCCACCTCTTTCAGAGGCCATCCAGACACCTGTTTCAGGTCACTGGAAATTTCCAAGAAAGTTTTCTAAGCCTGGACCACTCACAGTCACATCATTTTAGCCTCCACATAGACCTGTGAGATGGATGCTTACCTCTCGTGAATGGAAAAGCCAGGCCTGCCCCTCTGGCCTTCCAGAATGAAAGGGCAGGGCAGGAGTCAGGCCTTGTTTTTCAGCAGCTTGATTTTAAGAGGATCTGGACTGCCTTCTCTACTCTTTCTTGAGGCCTATTTGGTTTTGCTGCCCTTAGCCAGGTGGGAATTTCTGCCCCTTTCTTTAACAGGCTCCCTGCCTCCGTCTGGAATTTTTTTTCCCCTTTTAAGCTGTTATTGGTTGGCTTGAGAGTCTGTAAGGGAGTTGGTGCTACTATATGAGACACAACTGTCACTCCTAGCTCCCGTCCCCCACTGCTGCCCCTCTGAGGTGTGTCCTTGTCCTCCATCTTGCCTTCTAGCTCTGCTTTGGGGACTTTCCAACAGTGCCCAAGCTGACTACTCCACTGAAAGCCCTATTTGCTGGCGACATTGAGGAGATGGAGGAGCGTAGGGAGAAGCGGGAGCTGCGGCTGGTGCGGGCAGCCCTCCTGTCCAGGGAGCCAGCAGGCAGCCCGCAGGATAGGGAGCCCCAGCAGAAACGGGCCCACACAGAGCAGCCGCGGAGCCCACAGAGCCCACAGAACAAGAAGGTCAGAGCACAGTGAAGGTCTGTGAGTAAACTCTGAAGGCTCTGCATCTTCACCCTGTGCACAGCACCCCTGGCTGCTGTCCTTGCTGTTGGAAGCTAGAAAGTACCAACCAACCAGGAGACAACTTGGGATAGGTGGTGTGGAGTTGTGCCATGGTGTGGGCTTCTGGACCCCCTGTGATTGGTGCCTGGTACATCTATGGAAGAGGAAGCTGCTAAATGGAAGAAAGCAGAGGTAACTGTAATTCCATTGAAAGGTGGTGTTAAAGAAATCAGAGGCCAGCACCCCTTGCCTACTCCAGCAAAGTGATTCCCTCTGCACGCCAGAGATGGCTGACAGGGAATCCTGGGTCTGAGTGTCCAAGGCGCAAGGAATAGTATTTCCAAAGAAATGGCCACAATAAAGATTGAGTGTGGAGTCCTGAGTTTTGCGTTTCATCCTGTTGCTGCTTCAGTGCAGAGCCTTCTGCATGCTGCGTTGGAAGAGGGCTCTCCATGCTGCAACAGCACAGGTCCCAAGCACCTGGTATGCTCTGGAAGCCAGTTCCTATCACAGTGTGGATCTTTGGAGCTCGTTCTTGGGGAGGCATCCTTGTGAGTCTTGTGACAGATGGCAAGCCATGCTGGTTCCTAGCAGTGGTGTGGTGTCACTCACTGTTAGTGGGAGCTTGCCAGGCTGTGCGATGGGTCAGAGAAACACAGATCTACCTGTTGTTCTGGGTAAAATGTAGACAATAAATTTGCTTTCTCTTGCCCCATAAGGAGAATGAAGATCACTGCCCTTGGAAGTTTTGAGAAATGTCACATTGGGCTGGTTCCCTTGCCTTCCCTGTGAGAGTTACATACACAGGTTAATGCCTGGAAAATCCAGAGAATTTTCAAAGTTGAATCTATTATTTATTGTGTGTTCTCCCTATCCAGGAGAATGTGATGAGAGACACAGGCAGACGAAGGACTTGGCCTCCCTAGTGGCCAGGGTGACCTTCAGGCTCCATCCTGATGTAGGCGTGTGAGATTGATAACCATGTCTCACAGGTTTATTATTGAAACAAGAGCATTTGCCAAGCTCAGGGATAATAAATCTATTTTAATAACATTACTTTTGACAACAATTTTTACATGTATTTAAAGATAACTTTCAACCCCCCTCCCGCACCCGGACTCCATTACAAATTGAGGATTGAACTGCCCTTGCCAAGAAGTGAGCAAAGCTGTAACATCAAAAGTCTGAAAATCCCACTCTCAGAGAAGGGTGACTTTACACTGTGTTGGGAAAAATAACTAAGCATTTAAATTTTTCATTGTACACCTGTACATTGGTTTAGACTGAATGGCTCAAATTAAACAAATATAGATTTCATATATACAAATATTATATCATGTATAGGTATATTATATCTATTTTAAAAGGATAAAATTTTAAACTTTGACTTTGCATGCATGGCCCAAATCTTTCTCACTCCTTTAGTCCTCAAGTGTGAGGAGGCTCCCTGGTGCCCTCCCAGCCCTCGTCCCCATGACTGGATGGGACTTCATGAGAAGGGATGAGCAGTTGACGCTGGTGAGCAAAGCAGGCCACACTGCAGGCCGAGCATATGGGCATGTTTCTCCGTGGCTGGTTTCACTTTCCTCTACATGCTTTGGGTAACAGAATTATTGCTATTCAGCTGTAACCTCCAGAAAGAAGAGACAGGCTCCAGGACCCCACATACTAGTGAGCTGGGTGCCTCCAGGTGCCTGGAGGGATAAAATTACTCTCCAATAGTTAATGTTTTGGGGGGAAAGAGGTCATGGGGGCTACCTTTGCATCCTGCGTACACCACAAGGTCTCTTAAGATTCAAAGAAGTATAAAATGATAGGGAGTAACAGGAGCTTTCAGTCACACAATGGGGAAAAAAAACTATTAGGGCATGAAATAACTTTTAAGCCATTTACCTTGAAGCCCCCTGATTAAGGGCAGCCTAAAAGGTTTTACAGTGGCAAGCCCTCCCCCCAGTGGCTGGCAAAGGGCAGTGCCCCAGGACTGCTAGAAGCCCAGACCTAGTCCACTTGTATGTGAAATGATTCCTGCTGTCCTGTTGCTTTTCTGTAGCCTTAATTAAGCTATATTGCAGGACCTGACATTAGCTGTCTGAGGAAAGGTAGCAGCCCTCAGGTCTAACCAGGCAACTCCACCCTCTTTCACACCACCCTCACCCTGCAAAGGACATTTCTGGAAGTCTTGGGTAGAGAAGTGGGTGTTGCTTGGCATGGAGGCTGGAAGTGAATTAAAATAGGCACAAAGTCAAAAGGCAAAGGTCAAACAAAAGGCTGAAGTCACCACCTGAAAGGAACAAAAATCTCTACCAGCACTGCCACACGGACCGGAGATCACAATTTTCTGCTTAACTCCAACCTCATGTTGGCAGTGACAGGAAAGCCAACGGAGAACACTTGGCAAGTTCACAGACGCTGCTCCTGGCGGCGTGTTCTGGGGCCCATGGATGTATGTACACGCATGTCGGGATGAGTGGGTGCCATGTCAGAGGGCGGTGCTCTCAGACTCCTCCTCCGAGTCCCTCTTGTCAGTCACTGAGTGTCGCCGCACACGCTCCAGGGGACTCAGGCGGAGTGTCGACCCCAGCTCTATGTGGATCGAGGGGATATCAAAGTGGACAAGATCTGGAAGTTGGCAGAGAAAGATGGTTGAAAGGGGGCTTCTGGCTAATGGAAGGCAAATACAGTCAGCCTTAGGAAGCAGGGATGGTGTGGTTATTCTAGGGATGGGTCATTTGGAGGCTGGTGTAAGCATTTTGTGGCACGATTGGGCTGTGGTTGGGCCTGCTTTGCTTCTACCTCATAAGCTCGCAGGACTAAAGCATCCTGCCATAGTGGTTCAGAGAGCAAGACCACAACTGCACTCCCCCGCTAAGCCACATGGTACTTGATTCTTGACAAGAAGGATGCTCTCTGGGCAGGTCTCAGTGACAGCTTTTGGGGGAATCTACATCAGACTGCACTGTTCCCTAGAATCTGCAGGGACAGGGCGTGAGAGCAGAAAAGTGCCCCTTTCTCCTCCAAAGTCCAAGCCCATGAATGAACGGGGGACCCCTGAGTCAGCACTCTCGCGCTGAGAAACAGCTACATTTTGGATGGCTGATGGAGGCGGGGCACGGGGTCTCCTTCAGGGCTCTGGGAGTCGCTGGGGCAAACTGTTGGTTCCCTGGCTGCAGGCAAAGCCCCAACTCTTGTTACATCCTTAACAGAGCACTGAAAGGTCATTCTACCTGGCGAGATGATCGGAAGAATACCTGAAGTAAGGGGTCAGTGTTTGTGGACATCTGTGAGTCAGCGAAGACAACAAGCCCTTAGAGCCAGCAGCTTAGCATATGCAAAGCCCACTTCACATACCACGTTGGAAACGGGCCTGGCGGGGGACACTCATGACCTTGCGCTTGCTGACTTCTACGGGATGTGCTAGAGCCGCTGCTCCCCGCCTCCTTGGCTTGCTTAGTGTCTGGCCCTTCCTTAGCCTTTCTAGGCTGGGAGCAGCACTCTGGGTAACAGAAAAGTGAACCTAGCAGGAGAGCAATCTGGAGGGGAAGTTTTTGTTTTTGTTTTTTGGTAAAACAAATGTCCAGACTCAGGAATACCATACTGAGTATACAGACACACATTTGGACACTGTCCTAAAAGACATCATACAAACATGGAGGCTCCAGGACAAAGTCCCCTCCCTCATCCCACCCCCAGAGTCCTCACATCCAGCCTGTCTTCACTTCGCTGCCTGACAGAGAAACAGTTTTTGTTTTGTTTTGTGGTGAGCGGTTTGAGGCTCAGCTCAACCAGTGAGGCTGTGCCAGCCTGGGGCCTCTCCACTGTGCAGTGTTTGCCATCAGGTAAGAGGCACAAGCTCTACTGCTTGGATTCAAAATCCCAAATCTGACAGGCAGTAGGAATGTCAACATGGATAAATTTCCTACCCTGTCTTCACCTCATGTCAAATGGGAAAATACAGGTTGAAGAGATTAGATGTGCCTAGAACACACATCTGATGTGAGCTCATAACCTATCCTCACTCTTCCTAAAAGAGACCCCTGAAAGAGAAGAGTCACTTAGCAAGGGGTCAGGTGTAAGCCCCCACTGGCATTCCTGGGAAAAGGGAGGCTGTGGCTGCTAGTTTCCAGGCAGCTCTGGAAGTGTCTGCTTGGAGACCTGTCTGTGAGTGCCAAATGCCTGTTGCTAGTCTCTCCAGGGCCATGGGCCAAATGGGGGAAGACCCCTGGTTTACTCTGGCCACTCCTTTCTGAGGCAAAAGCAAAATTCCTTCTGGCTTCTTTTTTTTATTCCCTTGCTTTTAGTTTTGAGCATCTAGTCTTTGTATTTTTATTCTTTTAAGGGATAGTCGCCTAGGCTGCTCTGTCGCCTAGGCTGGAATGCAGTGGCATGATCATAGTTCACTGCAGCCTCAAACTCCTGGGCTCAAGCAATCTTGCTGCAGCTTCCTGAGCAGACAGAACTAAAGGTGTGAGCCACCACGTCTGGCTAACTTTTTAATTTTTTCTAGAGATGGGGTCTTGTTATGTTGCCTAGGCTGGTCTGGCATTCCTGGCCTCAAGTGAACCTCCCCACTAGCCTCCCCAAAGTGCTGAGATTACAGGAGTGAGCCACTGTGCCTGGCGGTGAGCATCTACTTTTTATAGGAGGAGGAAGGAGACTAAGCAGATACTGGTATAAATGCTCCCCAAATATTTTACTGAGTTGGACAGAAAGGATCTGGCTGGCCATATACACCTGGGATGGGGGAAAGTGGGGCACTCAGAATGAGTTCTAATACTATAGATTCTTTAGGAATTGCCAGCAGTCTCAGCCTAGAGAAAGACAGATGTTAGACTCTATGTCTGGAAATGAAGATCTGCTGGTGTAAATTCACAGCTGCAGAGAGTGGTGTCCAGTCCACGGGGCCCTGTGCTAGGCTGCACCAGGCCTGGCCTTCCTTCAGGTCTCCTTCCTTGACAAAGGCATGCAGATGAACGCCTCCCAGGGCTCTGGGCACAAGGCTCCAGCAGATGCGTCATAGGAAGAACAGCTCTGTGACCCTGCCACATTCTACACCTGAGGGGGAGAGGAGGAAGAGCTGCGATGAGGCAACTCTAGTGAAAGAGAAGGTAGGGAAAAGGAGTGCTAAGTCAGAAGGCTGGCTTTCTCCCCAGCTCCTCCGAATGAAAAGACAGAAAAAAAGCCAAATAAGCTCACGGATCAACTCATCCTTGCTGAGGCTGGGGGAAGGCTGAAGAGGAAAGCAGCCATGCGGATGGGCTGAGCCACATGCAGAGAGGAGTGGAGAGGAGGAGCGGGCAGCTGGCCTGGCTAGCTAGGGGGGTGGAGAGGGGCGAGGCCGGGGCCAGCTTACCCTGAAAATCCCCCTCACACGTATCCAAAACTGCGTCACTCATGTCACACAGCTGCAAGAACACAATGATAGGATTCGGAGAAAGAAATCAACACGACAAAACACGAACATCACAAAAAACTATGCCAATATCACAGTCCCGGGTGGGCCACACCAAACTGTTATGGATTCTACACTGCTCAGAGACCTGTACGTATGGGACGAAACAACACTTTGCTGCCAAAAGAACATTAAAATGAAATGTGCTGCAGGGGGTGAGGGACATGATTACTTCTAGAGGCCAGGACTTAAACCTGTGAGATGGAAAGTGAGTCATTCCATTTCTCCTAGGGCCCTAGGCTGCTGTCCCTCTATCCCTCCTGCCTCTCACTTCTGTCCCCCAACAATCTCTTCTCAGTCTGTTCTTTTCGGCTTCCCAAGTGATCTTCTGCTCATTCTATTGCTTACATGGACACTTCCTTGTGTCCCTTAGCTGGGGTGGGTGGTTGACATGATGTCTTGGGAGGAGCACTCCCCAAGACCTGACTCAGGTGACCTGTGACCGTGAGCTCCTCTGGCAGGTGTTGATATCCTTCGAGAGCAGCAGGCCTGTGCCTGCCATCGTGGGCTCCTTCCGGAAATACGCGTCATCCCTAAGAACTATGAAGAGGGGAGTGGTGCACGCTGCCATTTTTCAGGGAGGAGTTTCCTTGATTTTTAATAAACCTCAGGGTAGATGACAGCAGCTGTACACTCAACACTAATCACATCCAAAAAGAAAGAAGCCAAATAACCACATGGCTCTTCCCCATAATATTGAAATCTGACCCACTGCAAACACTTGAAAATGTGACTAGCCTTTTCATGGGCAGATCAGAGCTGAACCCCAAAGGTTCGCTGCTGCCATCTAATGGGGGGGGGGAAACATCACTCTTTTGGAGGAGAATATGGAGAAAAAATGCAATGTCCACGAGAAGTTCCAGAGCACCCTAGGACCTAGGACAGCATTGTTCTTTGGAATGGGTGTATGTGCAGTGTGTGTGTGTATGTGTGTGTGTGTGTTTCCAACCCAAGCTGCCTCACCTTCTGCTACTTGGGACAACACTAAACAGACATATGCTTGGGCTCTCTGCCGTGCAGTGAAATGGGCTGGCACTATTCCAAGGCACAGTCCAACCCTTTGCCTGTCTCCCTGAACAAGAAAAATGCTCGAATGACCTCAGCAGCCACCACAAATATGCCCCGAACTTTACAATATCATGTGGTCAAAGTGTCTGGGGAGAAGATCCAAACATGTCCCTTGTTTTTTCTAACCAATGAATGGCTTTGCCTAAATGTGGTGTGTGTGATTTCATGCTTACACGTTTTTCTGGGGGAAGATAGCTCCATCTTTGTTTCTAAATTTAATTCAAAATTAAATTAAGTAGTTGTGGGTTTGTCCAATTAACTCCTCAAGGAATTGGGCAGGGAAGACGTGTCTTTTCTGAAATTGACCCCTCTCTAAGTACATAGCTAGAAACATATTTTTCTAGCAAGGCTTATTTTACTAATAGGAAAAAAAAATCTTTGGTTCATAAGCCTTATTCACCAGATAAGCATTTGTATGTATAGGATGCTTGGGCTCTATCCAGAGAATACCTCACCTGAGTTTTGATGCTGTTTTGTGATCATAACCAGCTTCCAGTCTCTCCTGAGGCCCCACTCCAAAGGACTCAAGGTCTTCAACCCCCCAAATTAAGAAACAGAACCCTGGTCTGGCCGGCTGAGACCAGGAGAGATTCCCCTAAGAAGCCCCCCTGCAGAGCACCTTGAATCCAGGGCTGCTTTCCATCGGTGGGCTTCTAAGGAAAACCTCTTGTAAGTTACCACTGGTGTCAGCACAGCCATCTCACAGCACACAGGAATCTGTTCCCTTGCAAGGTCACTAACAATCCCTCCCCCAGGCACATTTTGCTAAGGTTCATAGAAAACTGTGAGGGAACTCGTGGCTTGGTTACCTGTAGACATGCTTTCCCCAGGGGACATGCCGTCTAGCATGGGGGGCTCCGTGGACTGTGGACTAGAGGCTGAGAGGTTGACTGTGGGAGGCTGAGGAGGCGGCAGAGTAGGTCTCTGTCGGGGCTTGGGAGTGGGCCGTGATTTGGTCAAAGTGCTTGTAAAGACAGAAGGAGAGGCCAGTGGGGGAGCTGCAGCCGGGGAAAGCTGGCCTGAGGCCAAGGAGTACCCTTGAGGGTAGCTGAGTCCATAGGGCGATGGGGTGCTCGGTGGGGTGGGGGACAAGCTGACTGGGGATGGCTGGCCCGTGGACTGGTCAGCCACAGCCCCCGGCTGGCCAAAGGGGACCTTGGGTGGAATTGGTGCCAGCTTCTTTGAAACTGAAAGAGAAAACACAACACAACAACAAAACACAAGGTTGTTAAGTAAAGCCCATCTGTATGGCCTGTTCACACTCTTCGCTGTTCAAAGTTGTCGCCACCTCCTACCCCTCACCACCCACCCACACCTCCCTGCCCCCAGCCTCTTGCACACTCAGAGCTGCCAATACAATTTTTAAAAATTAGCCTAGAACTGCAAGTTTTCCTATCTTGCCATCTGTTAACTAATGTCTCCCCCTCTTTTTTGGATTTCTGCCCTGAGCTACACACGCACGCCCAGCCAAACTCGAGAACAAATTTCCCATCCACAGGCAGTGGGCCGTGTTCCCAGTGGTAAAAGGTATCCGTGCTGCACTCTGAGGAAGTGTGAGTCAATGAGGCCTGATCCAACAGAAGATGACCCGGGCTCAATTTGCCACAGTGAGCAGCGGAGCCCTGACTCAGGGGCATATCCTCAGGATAAGAACTGACTTTTGGCTGAACTGCACGATAGCTTCTTGCTCCCATAATAGTGAAATGTGACCAAGTCCTCCAGCAACAGAAACCTCGTAACTCCATCACTTTGAGTTTCCTGCCTCTATCCTGTATCCTTGCCTCAGAGGCTTTTTGCTTGGGTGTTTTTTTTTTCCTTTCAAGAATTGTTCCCTTTGGTGTAAGCATGTACGAATGGTTAGGACAGGGTCTCACTCTGTCACCCAAGCTGGAGTATAGTAGTGGTATAATCACAGCTCTCTGCAGTCTCGACCTCCTAGGCTCAGTAGAGACTTCTACCTCAGCCTCCCAAGTAGCTGGGACTACAAGGGCAAGCCACCATGCCCAGCTAATTTTTTTATTTTTTTGCTGGTTTTCTTTTTTTGTAAAGACGAGGTCCTGCTATGTTATCCAGGCTGGTCTTGAACTTCTAGGCTCAAGCAGTCCTCTCGCCTTGGCCTTCTACCGTGCTGGGATTGCAGGCACGAGTCACCATAGGCCTGAATACATTTTTTCCAAGCACATCATTGCCCTGATCGCCTTTGTTTCATTTTCATCTTCCTTTTTAAAAACTTACCCACTCACTTTAAAGCATGACAGATACATTATATCTTACAAGAAAATGAATTAGCAAAGACAATAAATTCAAACACTGAGGAGATGCTTGGTGGGCAAATATCTTGAGAAAGTAATCACCAACCTGTCAGAATTAAGTGAGGACTGGTTGTGGGTGGCTCTGATTCTAGAAGAAATTATCTTGTAAGTCCTCAAGAAGGCATCAGAAATTCTTCTGCTACTTCCATCACTGACCCCCACTCCCTCTATGGAATACAGTTTATTTTAAGGACACCTCATGTATTTCCTTGGCTCGTTCAACCAGTGGTGTGAACAAGAAAAGGACATGCCCTTCAGAGTTCTACCAAGTTGGGTTTAAATTTCTACCCTTGCCACTGACCCACTGTATCTACTGGGGTGATTTACAACCCTATACAATGGGGATAGTCATATTTTTTCCTGCGTCGTTGTAATGATTAGATGGGATCATATATGTAAAGTACCATATAATCATGACTTATGATAAAAACACCTCATTTTCCAAGTTCGCTTTTCAACTCTACTTCCTGTGTACAGGGGAAGTGTTCCCAGGAGCTGCTACTGTAGAGCATGACAGCCTCATGGTCAGGGATGACTGATGCAGGAATATTCTACTGGGTGGGAAGCAGGCAGAGACCCTAGGCATCAATGCTTACACACATCTTCTCGTGAAGGAGCTGGGTGAGAGGACACAGTGACATCACCCTGTCTGTGATGACACTTACTTACTTACCCTTCTATGACAGGACTAGACCACAGTGTTAAATTGTAGGCACACTGTCAAAAGACTGAGGTATCAAAAACATAAAATATCCAACAGCTAAATGTGCCATTTGTGGAAAATGATGAGGAGTAGAGAAGAACGTTATAACTTTCAAAAAATGGCTCTGAGTACTGGATATCACTTGGAAAAGAGACCTGAGCCATTCTAGGCTACATTCCCTGCATAAGTCCACTTGTCTGTGACATTAGGATCAACCTGTCCATGACATTAGGAAGTTGCCTGGCAGCAACAGGAGCCCTGGCCCTCCCACTGGACCAGACAATGGCTGAGCCATCATCCCTGCCTTGTAGAACTGTGGGAAAGATTACAGAACTTGTAAACAAAGATGTGCCAAAGAATACAGCATTGAGACTGCAAGGAGAACCTGCTGCTGGTACTGGAGAAAAGGCCTAAAATGCTGAAATTCTGTCATCACCACTTTGGTCCAACTCCTTTTCAACCGTCAAGATGTCATTTCTTCTAAGCTACATACCCTAACTCCTGAGTCTAAAAAAGCTACCCTCAAGTGTCTGTACCCTGAACAACCTTCAGCATAGTGGCACCACCTTTGTGTTATTGTTGCATGTTTACCTTTGTGAAAGGCACAGAGCTCTGCAGAGTAGGGCTTGATGAATTTGTAAAATGCAAAAGGAAACGAATAAGAATTGAATGAGGTTAAAGAGACCAGGTGAGGGCAGATGAGGAGAATGGAGTTGGCACTGTTGAAACTAGGAGGGCTAGAAAGGGACCTGCCACAAAGATGAGCTGAACCTGGCCCTACTTGACACATCTTGGAGGTAAAGCTACTTCCAGTAGTGTGAATGGTCTGAATTTAGAACACATTAAATGATATACTATTTTAGACAAGTGAAAGACTTTGCAAAAAGATATGACACAGGTGAAGGCAAAACAAAATGGTTCGGATAAGTACACTCAGTACAGCTCTCCATAAGAAATGGAACCTATCTTTAGCTTTTGGGAGTGATTATCTGAAGAGAGAATAATTGGGCCTTTTACAATGTTCTGGTGGCAGAATTCTGGGTTGGGCAGCTATGGGTCAGAGCAGCAGTTCTCAGTCCTTCCAAAGAGGAGGTATCAGAGGTCAGGACTCACCTAAAAGATACCCTGACTTCCTCTGTCACCTTGTATAAGTAACCAGGAGTAGGTAGCTGTACAAAGCTGGCATTGGGAGCCAGGGATTCTTGCAGAAAACCACATAGATGTATAAATGGCAAAAGTAGGGTCTGGTAGGTCCACGGATGACATGTGTCATTCTGGACAATGATTTCTGCACTGGCAAAATCATTTGTTTGGGAAGTATTGTCCTATATACAATGGGACAATTAGTGGGCCCTAGTTAATCTACTTTTCAAATGAGTAAACTGAGAAATAAGAGCAAAATGACCCTTCTTGGGGTTGCTTAACTTCCAAAGCTCTGATGCCCAGACCACAAATTGTTCACTAAACCACAGGTTTCTCAATATCCAAGAGAATCAAGGACAAATCTTCAGGGAATGTGAACAGCCACCTTTGGCCTGAGACCAACAAGAAGGGAAGTGGTGACATACCTTTCCGGAGGGTGTGAGGACTCTGGTCTGCCGGAGGCTGGCTGGGGCTGGTGCCCGGCTGCGCCCCTGCTTGTGCCCCTGGCTGTGTCCCCGTGCAGGCTGTCCCCTGGCTGGAGCCTGGACTTCCTTTCTGCCCAGACCCTGGAGAAAGTTCCTTGCTTTTAGACATGCTGAAACACAAGCACACAAGACAAAAGAGAAACCCTGAACTCAGTCAGCTTCAGCACCAAACTTGCTGATGTTTATCCTATAACTGTCCTTCTGGTCCCTGGTCAAGTTTATCCCACTCTGGTCTGTCTCAGTCCCTTCCCAGAGCGACCAAAGGTGCCCCATGAGGTAACTGTCCCTTCTTGGAGCTCTGGTGGCCTGGGCTCCACACTCATTTCTGTGGTACCTGGCACTCACTGCCAGGGTCCTCTTCATGCTTCTGTCCTCTCCCCTCAAAAAGACCAAGAGCAGTGTGGGGGCAGGGCCCCTGAGCATCCCCACTGTATCCTGTTATCAACATGGGAATTCTAGAACATTCTTAACTGGAACACTGAAGTGTTCTTCTCCCTTCTATAGCCACAGCCTACCATAGCCAAGAGGGTTCCTTAGGGTCAGCGTGCTCAACAAGAGCTGATGACACAGGATCATGTTGCCACAGCTCTCCAGCTGTTTGCCTAGAGCTGGCTCCAGCACACCCCCAAGATGGGAAGGTATTCTGGGACTTATCCTCAAGCTCAAGAACCATTCTCAGCAGATGGTAGGGTTGACACCGATCCAGGCTGTGCTCCTGAATGCAGGACAGTTCAAGTCCCAGTCCCAGGCTGAGAGAAGAGTTCAAGTCGATGACCTGGAGGGGTCCGGCTTCTGAAGTCCATAAAATTAATGAAGGGACACTCAAGGTCACCAGGTCCTAAAGAGGATTCATCCCTACTTCTAGGCCCTTTCTCAGCCTTCTCCTGAGGATGAAGTACATGCTCAAGACACCCAACTCATCTCTACAGTTCAGGATGGTGAGTACCAGGCAGATCCTCTCTCCCTACCAGCCCCAACATGCTATCCATGGTAGATATTACCAACTGATCTCCAAAATACCCCCTACAGTGTCCTCCATTCTTTTCAACAAAATGCTCCAGGTTGTCCCTAGTGACCCAAGAAGAGGCCCTAGAGTTGGAAGCTGTCATCCTTGCTAGAATGACCTGACATCTGAGGCCCTTAGGTGGGGCATGGATAGTCTGGAAACCTAAATTTTTCACAATGGCTGTTTCTCCCCCTACAAAAGCCACCATCACCTGTTTTTTTCCTAAATTTATCTAGAAACTCTAAGTATTACTTTGGAGGAAATATCAATAGGAATATAACACTCACACCTACTGAGGTGAGAAAGAATGGAAACAGCGACCTGGCTGGAATAGCACACAGCATCAAAGCACAGGTCGTTTTCCCCACGTGAAGGAATGAAAGGAAAGACCACATTCAAGGTGATAGGAACACGTCCTCTCGGGATGAGTTTTATACCATACCTGGGGAATTCCCCAAAGGAAAAAATCCATTTTATCCAGAGGAACGAGAAGAGTAACAATTTCTTTCTCTATTCTGCTAATGAAAAACGAAAACAAAAACAGAAAGCCCTTGCCTCACTTGGGCTGGACAAGGACTTATCTTTTATTCTTCCTGAGGCTCAAGGTCACCAGGTACCCAGGCATTCACTCCAAATATCTATCTACTCTTCCAGCTATTAATATCTCTGCCACCATCAAGATGAGGGTCAAACAGTCAACCAAACAAAACACAAAACAAACAAATAAAAAACTACTTCTGGAGGGGTGAGAGACTCTTCTTCCTTCCTTTGGATAGACAACTATCCAAGGAATCCAGGAATGAGCTCTTCTTTCTGCTCCCTCCCACCTGATGTACTTTCCCCAGCACAGAAACAAGTATTTACCTACTTAGCCTTGTCCTCTCTCTCCAGCATAGGTGCAGCTGACCCAATGGGGAGAGGTGAGGGGTAGGGTGGTTATTAGTGGTGCCAAATGAACAAGGCATGGTTAAGGCACATTTAAGGACAGGTTAGTCCTGGGACGCATGACTCAGTCAGTGAGCTGGGTGCCAAGAAGCAGGAAGCAGAGATGGGTTAGTGTCAATGCTAGATAGTGGAGCAGGAAGCAGAGGCAGAGCCTGGCTGGACAGAGCCACCAGGCCCAGCAGGGAAAAAGCTGGAGGCAGGGCCTGGGGTGAGGAGGAGGAAGGTGGGGGCAAGTCAGAGGGAAGGAAGGGCCTGCCATCCTCAGGGGAGGGGGAGCCGTAACAGGAATCCGGCCATTGGAGGAAACATCATCTGTGCTGCAAATGTCCGGGAAACAGAAACAAACAAAAACAATGGAACACCCGTTTGTATTGGGAGAAATCCACATGGGGGGAGGAAAAAAGAGTGGCATAAAACAAATAAGAACACTAACACCCAAAGAAAAGCTACCAAACAGGTCAACCCGGGCAAAGGGGAAGGAAAGACATATGGCCGCAGAGCAATGTGACTGACCTTTTAAGTAATCTGAACCAGTGAGTGGTGTTCCCTGCCCACGGGTGACTCTGCAAGGCCACCCATCCATAACTTTCCTGGAACACCTTCATAGCCTGGGAAAATTCATCTTCAAGGGACATTGTTTAGAAATATCATTTATATGTCAAATACCATATGGCACTGTATCTCCTTTATAGGATGGGAAATCAGGATGAAGCCTATGAGTGTCCTAAAAGGGAACTGTCCCCAGCCAATCTCCTGCCTGTGTGTCTTTTCTTCCTTATCAGCCTCTTTGACCCATCCCTCTCAGGCTCTGCTTCTCCACTGGACTCATTCTGCCTCAAGCTCACCTGAGGCGTGGCAAGTGCACAGCCAGGACCAGGCATCTCCTCTGAGCTGAAGCCATCAGCAACGGCCCCAAGCATGTCCAGTATCAAGTCTCCCCTCCCAACCTCCAGATTGTCCCCTTTTTACTTTGTTATTTACTGGTTTCACAGTGAAAATGCCTTCTACTCATAAAACACACACACACACACACACACACACACACACACACATACCCTGCAACCCTCTCATGTAAAGAGTTGGTGTGTGCAGGGGAGGCAGTGTATGTGTGTCTGTGTGTTGGTGGCGATTGTATATGAAAATGCATATGTGTGTTTGGAGAAAGATTTGGGTCAACAGGTTCAGCTTGCCAATGTCTCCAAAACTTCCTTGGTAGTGGTCAGACAGGAATGCTGTATCAGTTAAAAGAAGGCACAGTAGCATCTGATTTGAAGTAGCTTTTTGAGTGTCCTCAATTGCTGTTTGAGAACAAACAGAAAGTATAATTCCCACTTCCAGAATTCACATCTGGAATATAATTCCCCAGATCACATCTCTTTCAAGGAATGGTCAGGTCTCCTTCCCTGGGACCCTGGATGTGCATAACTGAGTGCTGTAATTATTTGTCAGCACCTGTCTGCTCACTGAAAGGTGAACTCCTTAAGGGCAGTAATTGTATCTTTTTAATCTTTGAAAAAAAGGCCTCAGTTAATGTTCACCAAGCTAGCCATGGAATGAACTTGTCTCTTTTTCCTTCCCCTAAAAGAATGGATAAGACCAAGTGAGTGGCATGCTGCAAAGGTCACCAGGCCCAACATGACTATGTCACCTCTGTGTCTTCGCTGATTTTTACCCACTTTAACATCAAAAATGGCCACTACTAATCTAAAGGAAGAGGAGAAGAAGGAGAAGCACTGAAATTATACATTTCAAAATAGGATACAGTCATTTCCCTTATCGGTGGTTTCACTTTCTGCAGTCAACTGTGGTCCAAAAATAAGTGATAGTACAAGAAGATATTTTAAGACAGTATATTGTTATGATTGTTCTATTTTATTATTAGTTTCTGCTAATCTCCTACTGAGGTTATTTTATAACTAAAATTCTATCATAGGTATGGATGTATAGGTAAAAATATAGTGTCTCTAGAGTTGGGTACTATCTGCAGTTTCAGGCATTCCCTGGGCGTCTTGGGACGTATCCCCTATGAATAAGGGAGGTTACTTTCATGATAAAGGCAAGGGAAGGGGGAAATAGAGAGTTAAGGAATTGAAGATTCCTCAAATCGCTTTAGCAAGCTGCCACCTTATGTTTGCTTGGAGATGCTATTCTTGGAAAGCCTGGATTTTTGTGACAATTCGGGGAGCTGCGTATGACTTATGTGGTGCCAGCACAATGCAGAAGCCAAACATGAATGCTTAGAAAAGGGTGTGGGAATGACCAAATCCAGGAGGCTTCCAGGGCAGCAAACTCGGACACCCCCTGCACACCAGCCCGCCCCTGACAGCAGTGGCTCACGCTTACCTGGTCCGCTCCGGCCCAGGCTGGAGGCCCAGGCCGGATGGAGAAAGCGCGGGGGTGGCAGGGCTGTCCAGGGGCTGCTCCAGCAGGGGCGACGGCAGGGGTGCAGCCAGTTCGGCAGGCGGGGCGGGAGGCTGCATGGTGGGTGGGGCACAGGATGCTTTCCGACCGGCTGAGGAGCCTCTTCGAGCCACCCAAGATGTGTCCATGACCCTCACGCCCATGCTGGCGAGGGACACAAAGACACCTGCTTACCCAAATGTGACAGATGACAGGTGATGGGTTCCCTCCCCCACGAAGCAGAAACATTCAAGCAGGTCCGTGTTAGAGGAAGAGCAGTACAGCCTTAGCACCCCCTTGGCCTAGGAAGCGATGCATGGAGGGCTGTGCTCCGCAGTGGGCACAGGCAACGATGCTTCCAGTGCCCAGGCCACTCCAGGCCAGCTGAGACGCAGCCCTGGGCAGCCCAGGCTTGGCAAGGGCGGCCCTCCACCCCCGCAGCCAGGAGCAGGGCTCAGTTGGCAGCGCTGGAGTCCACAAGCTGTGCTTCAACCCTCTGCCAAAGCCAGCTCCCTGTGTGTAGACTCCAAGCCTTCCTCACAGCAGAATGTGGCCTAACTATGGGGGCGGGGGACGCTCACTCCTTTCAAGGGCAAGATGGAGATGGGCGGGGACAAGGAGCAGGGAACCTGAAACTGACCAGCAGGAAACATCTTCTACTCTTTGTCATTTGGGGTCTAGGACCAGCTCCACCACGGCCAGGGATCCCTGCCAAGTCACACCTCTGCAGGCCACCTCTGCTTGTCTACACAGCAGGGAAGGGGCTGCTCATGCCTGTGGTCCCTCTGGGCTCTGACTCTGGTTTAATGATGGGCACACAGCTTCAAATACGTCTCGGCCAAGCAACTAAACATGGCGCATTCACCCTCTCACAGAGCTCACTACGACGCATAGCTCACTGAGTTTAAGAGACTGAACATGGCCTCAGAGCTACCAGAGGATACCATACCTTTGGATTTTCCTAAGGCTGCAGGGACAGAAACATACAGATATTAGTGTCAAAAAATCTATGCCTTCCTTTGGACATAAAGGCTGTCTTTCTGCAAGGGTCTTCTTCCATGGTCAGGGTCTTGGCATGTGGTTTTTATTGAGCTATGAAATTATTACAATTTAGTCGATCTCTCTAGTTAAAGTGACTTTTCTGTGTGTGTGGGTAGAAATCATTCCCTACCAAGCACATAGATGAGTAAAGAGAGCAGCTGAAGTATTGATATAGGTATGGCGTGGGGAAGAGGGAGAAAGATATTGGTAGATATTGGTAACCATTTGCTCACTTCTAAGTTACATGGACTTAGAAAGAGGTTAGTTCCCTTTCCTCTGGTCTAGAAGGTACTGGTAACCATCATCCTTAGTCAGAATCTTCACTGACTAAGGCAAGAGTTCATGTTTCTACTATTATGGGAGTCAAAACTTTCATGCAGGGAGAAAACATATATACTCCCAGACAGCAGTCATCTCTGTCACTTATTGCACAGTGGGGTGGGGGTTTGAGGACTAGCATGTCCTCACTCTCACCTCTTCCCTAGACAAATGGTCACCCACATGGGTCAGAAGCACAAAGCAATCACATTACAAAATCCTGCCTACCGAAAAAGGTTACATTTACCTTGCAGAGGTGCAGCATCGTTAAAAAAAAATAAGTTCAAGTATGGAGATTTGCTTGTAGCAGATGGAATTGGGATTTGGGTGCTTAAAAAGATATACCTTGGGATGGAGGCCGCAGTGAGGAGCCATGTGGTGTAATGATGTTAAAACCAAGTGCATACTGAGGTGGGGACAGCTTCCTTGGCCTTTCCTCCCTAGGATCACCAGAGACGCTTTTGTGTCTAGTACCACAGCTGGTATTTCTCTCATGGATGACTTCAAGAAAGGGAAGAGAAAGGGATGTCTTTTTCCTGCACCTACTGGCTTTTAAGTTATCTTGGGTCTAAGAACCTCCATCAATAAATAAGCACCTTCTATAGCATCTCCAGAAATGCTTCTGGAGGCAACTCAGAACTTTAAGACAGAGTCCAGTTGCACTCCCTGATATTTAAAGTAGGTTGCAGGAGACTATCAAACCATGCTCTCTAGGCTTCAGAATTTATCAGCATGAAAAAAGAAAAAAGCTTAACATTCGACTTGGGAAAGGGAACTGATTACCACCTAGTTGCAGTGATCGGTGAGGATGGCAGGTATGTAAGATGTTTCCCATGGTGACCAAGAATCCTAAAGGGTGAAAGCCTAACCCTGTCTTCTCTTCCTTGCCCAATTCTCTTCTACTTGGAAAGACCTTTCCCACTTGGTGGGAAGCCTGGGCCAGAGCTGGTGGGGGATGCCTTCTATTTCCAACAGCATCTTCCAGCATTAGTAACTTTAGATACCAGGCAACCTGGTGATCTTCTGGTTTACCAAAGCAAGATGTCAGCATGGACATGGAGTAGATACTGGGTGAGACCTACTAAATATTGCTGGCAAATGTCAGCAACCAAGAAAGATGAGCTGAATGTACTACCTCTGCCTTTTTAAGGAGACTGTGGTAACATAGGTAATCACCACTTTCCCAGCTGAGATTATTTTCTTATGAGAGGCAGCATTGCATGTTCATGGTGAACACATATCAAATATGTCCATGACATTTTCAAACAGCAATACAAATCTTTACAAAGTGAATCAATCACAGAGGCAGGAGCAATGTTCCTGGAGACCTAAAAGCACATTTACCTTCTGAAGCAAATTGGTATATTTAAATGTTCAAATGTCTAGATAAAAATTCAACCCACAGACACAAATTATAAAATTGCTCAGTACGCTGCCAAGAAGGGGAAGCTACTCACAGATGGGGGATCCAAACAGAAGGTTATATCTGCAGTTTACACGTTTCTGTTCATTGTTTTATCACATAAAGAAGCAAGAGTAGCCAGAATAAAGGAACTGCTTATGTTTCTTAAGAAAGGAGCAATACGGAAGTGGAATTAATAAAAACTATTCAACACCAGTAGACATCACTGCATGGATACCTAAGGACCATCTGGATGGCAAAGATTTCCCGGGGCCCACTGCTTCCAGTAAAAACTGAGAGGAACTTGACTTTTAGATCCCTTTATAATTGAATCAAGACAAAAAGCTGAATCCAAAGCAAGAAGCCAGAGGCCAAGAAGAATGTCTAAGAAACAAAAGGCTTGTAGATCAATAAGTAAGAAGCACAAGGCAGGTGTAGGAGATGACCTCCAGGTAAGCTTTTCTGTGCCTCCTGGTGTTAGGCAGTCGGGAGTCTGCAGAATGTGGAAAGTTGAACCCGAGGCACTCATCTCCTACTACTCTCTCTTAGGGAAGGAGATGAGGGACAGGGAAACCAGAATTGTCAGTGCTCATCCTCGGGATTTATGAGGGGTGAGCCGGCTGATAGGTCCTCACTTTGGCAAGGTAGCCCCACCCCCTGCTTCACTCCTCTCTACTTACCAGCACCCTATATTTGCATGGAATTTATCATGATGCACACTTGTATTTTTCACGAGACTTATCATGGGATAAGTTCTGGTATGACCCAGGTCTCTAGTCCCAGTTAAACCATTCACTGACTTCATAAAGCTCTCTCCTCATCTACAGAATGAGGCTAATTCCCCCACTCCCACTTCCAGTATATCTATGAAGGTAATTTATCAATTATTCAGTGCTGAGATATATTTAGCATGCCCTTGCACCATGACATAGTGGCAGAAGCTGATTGGCTATGCAGTGGGTTGCAATGGGGTATGAGAGATGGGAACACAGGCTGTGTCAAAAAAGAGGTCTGGCTAGCTAAGCAAATGAAGTTTTATGGGTTTGACAAGTTGGAGACTCAGAGAATCAGATATCAGGTGACATCTTGGTAAAGGGAATATAAAGGCCTAGTAGCTGGTTTGTATGTAACCCAGTGACTCAACAACTTCTGCTCAGCACAGCAGGGCTCTGGAAGCAGAGAACTTGGATTTGAATCCCATGTTTTCCAATTACTAACTGTATGATACAAAGGAGTTACATCTGATTATCCTCTGTAAAATGGAAATAAGTAAATATATATATATTTATATACCTCTGATCCAGGAGGTACTGGTAACCATCATCCTTAGTCAAAGTCTTCACTGACTAAGGCAAGAGCTCATGTTTCTAGTATTATCTATCTATCTTAGGGTTGTTGCAAGGAGCCAATGGAACAATGTGTGACAAACCTTGCCAAGAAATCAGCAAGTAATAGTGTCGATTATGATAATGCTTTGTCCTTATAGGTACCAAGAACATATGATTTTTTTTTTTTTTTTTTTGA